CCCCCCCCTTTTCAAATCTTTTTCCCCCAAAAAAAAAAAAAAAAAAACACACCCCTTGGCTTGTGTTCTGTCACATGGCATCTTTCTCTTGCATGCCACTTTTTTTTTTTTTAAATTACAACACCCTGGCTGGGCATTGGTGGCAAACGCCTTTATTCTCAGCACTCAGGAGGCAGACAGAAGCAGGCAGATCTCTGTGAGTTCGAGGCCAGCCTGGTCTACAGAGCGAGTGCCAGGACAGCCCCCAAAACAATACAGATAAACCCTGTCTTGAAAAACCAAAACCAAACCAAAACAAAACAACAACAACAAAAAAAAAACCACCCTGGCCTTCTGCTACTTTTTTTTTTTTTATTAAGATTTATGACGTATACAGCTTTTTTTGCCTACATGTATGCCTGCAGGCCAGAAGTGAGCACCAGATCTCATTACAGATGGTTGTGAGCCACCATGTGGTTGCTGGGAATTGAACTCAGGACCTCTGGAAGAACAGTGCTCTTAACCTCTGAGCCACCTGTCCAGCTCAACAGCCTGATTTTATATATATTTTGTTACATACACTTTACTCACAGAATAATGAGTAACAATCCCCTTTATTCCTAGGTGTCTTGTGCCATGAACAGAGAGGGAAACAGGCATCTGTGCCTCTGTGAGAACTTAGCTGGCCTGGAGGCATGACAAAGTTGGCAGGCCATCTCCTCGAGAGCATTTAGCCTACACTTGTACCCTGATGTGTACCTTTCTCCTTGATGGCCTAGAGGCTTCTGTGTTCCTTGTTGCAGGTTGTGGGCAGAATCCTACTCGACAGGCCAGTGTGGGTGCAGGGATCCCCTACCCGGTTCCAGCATGGAGCTGCCAGATGATCTGTGGCTCAGGCCTCAAGGCCGTGTGCCTTGCAGCCCAGTCCATAGCCATAGGTGACTCCAGCATTGTGGTGGCAGGAGGCATGGAGAACATGAGCAAGGTAAGTGCAGGGATGCTCACCATCCTCCTCGCCTAGGATGCAGCATGTCCCACTGAGAAGCACACTGAGATTGACTCAGCATGGACCTCTTTGTGAATGCTCATTGTTCCCCAGGTTGGAAGAGAAATCCTGTGTGAAGAACAGCCTGTCATCCAGGCAGTGGAGGCAGAGTATGACTTTTCTAAGCTGTTGTTCCAGATGCATCTACAGTGTTTTCTGAAGTGAACCCACAAGATTAGATGGTTGCAGCTGCATGATGGTGGTGCATACCTTTAGTCCCAGCACTTGAAAGGCAGAGGCAGGTGGATCTTTGTGAGTTCAAGGCCAGCCTGGTCTATAGAGTGAGTTTCAGGACAGCCAGAGCTACAGAGAGAGACCCTGTGTCGAAAATCTCCCCCCACTCTCCCCCCAAAAGTGGGAGCTCCTGACTGATATTCCTGGTTAGGTCACCAGATTTTCAGTTGAGATGCTGTCACATTTTCCATCCCCATGGGAGGTTGTTTCCCATCATGCACTACTGTCATTCTCCTCTTCTATAAAAAAAACTAGAGGCTAGGTGTGGTGCAGCATAAGTTAATCTCAAAAAAGAAATATAATAAATAAAATAAAAAAAACAGCCAGGTGTTTGTGGCCCACGCCTTTAATCCCAGCACTCGGGAGGCAGGGGCAGGTGGATCTCTGTGAGTTGGAGACCAGCCTGGTCTACAAGAGCTAGTTCCAGGACAGGCTCCAAAGCCACAGAGAAACCCTGTCTTGAAAAACCAAAAAAAAAAAATTATACTCATATTACTGCGGAATGGGCACGTGCCCCCAGACACTGGTGGAGGTCAGAGGACAACTGTGGGTTATGGGGACTGAATTCAGGTCATCAGACTTGGTGAAAGTGCCTGTGTTCCCTTAGCCATCTCACTGAAACTGCCTCTCTCTTTCTCCCTCCCCCCTTTGTTTTAATTTATGTATTTATATATTTGCTTGGTTTTTCAAGACAGGGTTTCTGTGTGTGCCTCTGTAATTCTGTGTCCCTGTAACTCACTTTGTAGACACGGCTGACCTCACACTCAAGAGATCTGTCTGTCTCTGGCCCTCAAATGATGGAATTAACGGTGTGATGGGCACTACCATGCCCTGCTCATCTTTTTTCCCTTTTAGATAGAGTCCCATGTATCTTAAACTGGCCTGGAACTCCCCATGCATTCCAGGTTGGCCTCAAATTCACAGAAATCCACCTATCACTGCCCACACCAGTACTGGCACTACCTTGTTTTGGAGAAATTAATCTAGACATTCTTTTTTTTAAGAAAATTTTTTTTATTTAACTTTATTTTATGTGCATTGGTGTGAGGATATCAAATCCATCCCCTAGAACTAGAGTTACAGACAGTTGTGAGCTGCCACGTGGGTGCTGGGAATAGAACCTAGGTCCTCTGGAAGAGCAGCCACTGCTCTTAACCACTGAGCCATCTATCCAGCCCTAATCTAACCATTCTTTAAACAGAGTGGGACAGTGGAACTCATTAGCTCTGCTGTTTAAAACCCCTAGATCATACTCACAGCTGAAAAGTCTTAGGGCAGCTGAACTCAAACAGGTCAGGTAGAATTCTGTGCACCTGAAGCAACCTGTTCCTAGACACAGCTCATCAGTTCAGGGTACATGCATCCCTAGACACTGTTCTACTTTTGACCTGGAGCTAGAGCTCAGAACAGTCCACACACAAATAATCAAGACCACGATCTGCACACACAGCACAGGGACAGATCTCCACCACTTTAGATCCCAGACCAGAGGGAAACAGGAGCCAGGCTAGCTTGTCTTTGACTTGCTTTCCCACTGTGAGGGAGAGTGGAGTCACGTGTTGCCACTTGACCTTCTTGTCATGGCCCTTGGTCAGGAGGGACTCAGGGAACCAGGTTTTGTTGATCTCCTAGAGGGTAGAACATGTAAAAGCCACCGATGGAGAAGCATGCCCAATCCTGCTGTTTGGGAGGCTGAAAAGCATGTGAGACCAAAAGCTCAGGACCAACCTAGATCACACAGCAAGACCTTGTCTCAAAAACCAACAGAAAGAACATGGCCGACTTCATGGGGAGCTGACCCCTTCCAGGAGGCTTGTCATCCCCATCTGTCTCACCAAGTGCTGTCCTTCAAGCTGGCACTGCAGTAGAATAGTATCATCTTCCTATTGAAGCAGCTCCAGGTCTGACCTTGGAAGCCACTGGTCAGAGACCCAGGGAGCTCAGCCACTGCAAAGCTCAGGAGGAGGCAGGCCAAAGGTCACAAAGCGGGTGGAGTCCTTCTGGTTGGATGTACTGAAAGAACCTCGGGGTGAGGAGTCTCCCCGATCAGACCGGTCCCCCCAAGAACTCAATGTCCAATGCAATGAGCAGGAGGCTTTAATGAACGGGAAGCGTTTGTACAAACCGGCCCTCTCAGCATGCAGGCTAGAGAGAAGCTCTGATCTCTAGGCACGGGTGGTTTTAAAGGAAACAACCACAAGCTTAGGGAGAGGCTTCGATCCTCTGGCCGTTGAGTACATGAGGCCCTTTGTCTTGAGGGGAGGTCTGGGAACCAGATGGCCTCCTGACCCACTTGTTGTAAAACCCTCAGACTTCAGGATGTGCTAACTAATCTTGCCTGAGCAAATTGTTAATTGTTGACACATTGGCGGGGGGGGCAATCTGTTTCCTTCATGAGCCCCTCGGGGAGGGTGGCCATCTGGGAATTCTTGGTACCCAGTTATCTTATGGCCTTGTAAGGGAGTAATTGCTGGTGGCTGGTAAATTCCAAGCACTAAGTCATAGTGGCCTTGGTCAGTTTCTGGGTCAGGCCGCCCTACATTCCGTTTGGGAAGTTTCCTTATCTGGGCTTTATTTCTTTGCTAATTTTTAAGTCTTTCAGTACTAATGTGCAGACCTGCACCTGTGCTGTTGTGTGTGGTCACACAAGCCAATATGGTGTCAGTGCTGTTATTCCCAACTTACATGTTTGAGGGAGAAATAGAAATGAGCAACTTAAAGAGGAATAGACTCTTAAGAGAAGGCAGGTGGGACTGTCTGCTAATGCCAAGAGGTTTCAGGCCCTGACCTGGGGAAGCAGGTAGTGGGGAGAAGGGCTTGATGGGTAAATGAAGAGGAGGAAGCACTGTCCAGACTATTCTGAGTCTGTGTGGGATCCTAAGGACCCTAAGGAGAGTATTAATGACAACCAAGTCTAACCCTGCTCTTACTTCCTGTTTCCAGGCCCCTCACTTGGCTCACCTGAGAGCAGGAGTCAAGATGGGTGAGATGCCGCTAGCTGACAGCATACTGTGTGATGGTCTTACAGATGCGTTTCACAACTATCATATGGGCATCACAGGTGAGGCTGATGTGGCTGCCAGCACTAGCTTTAGAAAGGTTGACAAGAACATGTGACTGTGAGACTGTTAGCATAGGCTCTGAGTCTGAAGGTAGTTCTGCTTAGCCATTTTTGGTATGGTAGTGAACAGGTGTAAGCCCTCGGTGGTGGTGGTGGTGGTGGTGGTGGTGGTGGTGGTGTGTGTGTGTGTGTGTGTGTGTGTGTGTTTCTCTGTGCAACTTGTAAATCTGGGAAATTGAACTCAAAATATTTATCTTACAAGTTCTTGACCAACTATTCTGTTTCATTGGCCCAAGAAAGAGGGTTTTTTTTGTTGTTTTGTTTTTTGTTTTTTGTTTTTTTGTTTTTTTCTTTTTTGTTTTTTGTTTTTTTTGGGCAAGAGTTTAATAGATACCAATCTCATCCCTAGACAGTAGTCCTAGCTGACCTTGAACCAGGCTGGCCTGAAATTCACAGAGATCCATCTGACTTTGCCTCCCAAATGCTAGGATTAAATGTTGTGCCCCAGCATACCTGGCTTTTTCTTTTAAGACTTAATAGTACAATAGGTAAAGTTTGAAGTTGAGCTAAGAATTGTATTAATGTTAAATTTACTGGTTGTTTAAAAAAATGTTTTAGCCGGGCATTGGTGGCACACGCCTTTAATCCCAGCACTCGGGAGGCAGAGGCAGGTGGATCTCTGTGAATTCAAGGCCAGCAAGTGCCAGGATTTGCTCCAAAGCTACACAGAGAAACCCTGTCTTGAAAAACCAAATAAATAAATAAATAAATGTTTTAAAGACTATATTTGTGTGTGCATGGACACACGTATGTAAGTACCAAAGTGTAGGTCTGGAGGTCACAGGCCAACATGTAGTTGTCAGTTCCTCTCCTACTCTGTGGAATCCAGGTCTTCAGGGTGGGCAGCAAGCATCTTTATCACCTGTCCTGATTCTGTTTTTAAACAACTCCTTATGTAAATAATTTGTCCGAGAGAACAAGTATACAGTGAAATTATAATTCAGAGGTAAAAGTGAATTGTATTTATCTTTCCCTCAGGTGGATAGGAAAGAGAATGTTCAGATAAATTGAGCAAAAATATCAATGGTGAATCTGGATACTGTTTTCTGGAAGTTGACACTTCCATATATAGGAAGAGAAAGAAAAGAAATGCCTCTCAAGAGGCACTACAGATTTCAGGTCTGCTGCTAACATGGCAGCAGAACCAGCCCAAGGAGCACTGCCTATCCTCCTAGCAGGAGTTTAAATGTGAGGAGCTTGAGCTACCAACACCCAGTTCATGAATATGCTGTCTTTGCCCTTTCTTCTCAGCTGAGAATGTGGCCAAAAAATGGCAAGTGAGTAGAGAAGCCCAGGACAAGGTTGCCGTTGTGTCCCAGAACAGGGCAGAGCATGCCCAGAAAGCTGGCCACTTTGACAAGGAGATTGTGCCAGTGTTGGTGTCTTCTAGGAAAGGTGAGTATGGAGACCACAGGAGACATGAGCCTGTCCATAGATATGAAAAACCCAGTAACACCCACAAGGATGGTATATAGGGCTGTTGGGGAACTTTAGCCTTTACATGTTGTTGTTGTTATTGTTTTTTTAATTTAAATTAGAAACAAGCTTGTTTTACATGTTAATCCCAGTTCCCTCTCCCTCCCCTCCCCCACTGACTTCCTATCTCATCCCCTTTCTGCTCCCCAGGGAAGGTGAGGCCTTCCATGGGGATCTTCAAAGTCTGTCAGATCATTTGGAGCAGGGCCTAGACCCTCACCCATGTGTCTAGGCTGAGAGAGTATCTCTCTATGTGGAATGGGCTCCCAAAGTCCATTCGTGTACTAGGGATACATACTGATCCACTATCAGAGGCCCCATAGATTGCTCAGACCTCCAAACTGACATCCACGTTCAGGGGTCTGGAACAGTCCTATGCTGGTTTCCCAGCTATTAGTCTGGGGTACATGTTGTTAAGGTGTAGACTTTATACATCTGAATGTGAGAGAGTAGATGGTGATGTGTTGTTGTCTTTTGGGTTTATTTGCTTGTTATTTTTGTTTGGTTAGTTGGTTAGTTGGTTTTTCAAGACAGGGTTTCTCTGTGTAATCCTGACTGTCCTGGAACTCACTCTGTAGACCAGGCTGTCCTGGACCTCATAGAGATCCTCCTGCCTCTGCCTCCTGAGTGCTGGGATTAAAGATGTGGGTCTCCATGGGATATGGTTACACGGGAAACTGTCATCTTCAAATTGTCCACATCTGCAGTGTGTATCCAGTGGGCTCCATGAGGAGTGGAGCATCAGTTTGTGGTTGTCAGAAGATACAACTCCTCTATACAGTCCAAACAAAGCCTTTCCAGTTGCCCCCATGTGCACCTCACATCCATTTGCAGAGGCCATATCATGTTAGGTCACCATCCATGAACTGAAGCAGACAGGGTCTGCAGACAATTCCTTCATCAATAGCTGACATTCATGCCCAGATCACAGAAGGTGGACTGTTCCACTCCTGATCCACTCAGTTGTAGCCAGCTAAATGCAGTGACTCAAACCCATGTGCATACATACAAATAACCTCTGTCCCTGGGAAGGCCTGTGGATTTGGGGCACAACAAGATTGTCTCACCAAGAGTTCTCATGGGGTAGCATGCTCTCCAGCACCATGTTGGCTTGCATGCTGCCATGCTTCCACCATGATGATAATTTGCTACTGGAATGAAATGGGTAAATGTGAATAAGCCTTTCTTCCACATGCAAATGCTCTTGTTTGAGAAGTCCCCAGTCCCAGAAGGCATGCTGCCTTCTCTGTACTCATCCTGAGTAACTGCTTTTACTTTCTGCAGGTCCTACTGAAGTGAAAATTGATGAGTTTCCTCGCCATGGGAGTAAAATGGAAGCTGTGGGCAAGCTAAAACCTTACTTTCTTTCTGATGGGACAGGAACAGTCACCACTGCCAATGCAACAGGTTTGATTTCGGAAGGACATTGGAACAAGTACTACGTTTGGTGGGGTCTACTAAGTGATCCTTTGTAGTGGCATCTTGCTTTGCCAGTGAACTTGCGGTGGTGGCCACATCCTAGGGGCATGGCTTCAGGTGTGCAGAGGGGTACCCCTTATAAGTAAGAGGAGGGGCTGGCTTGTGCTTTTGTGTCATGGTGAGGGCTGAGACTTTGTGGGCTCTTTTTTACTCAGCCTTCAAATCTTTCTACACAAAATGATTCCTTCAGCTGGGTTTAGGGGAAACCTTGTCTTTTCTATATTGTCTGTTATTTAATCTATTTTGAAGTGATTTGCTTTCTTGACATCTAGACATACAAGTTAAAATAGTAAAATTGAGAGTTCCAGAGTATGGGGAGAAAGAGAAAGGGGCGGGGCACTTTACTTCTAGTACTTATGTGGCAAAGGCAGGTTATCTCTGTGGTTTCAAGGTCATCACAGTCTACATAAAAACATTCTAGGCTAACTAGGGTTACATAGTAGGGTTACATAGTAGGGTTATATGAGACTCTCTGAAAACCGTATGTTCATCCACTACCTGCTTTTCCAGGACTTCCAGGAAGTCCCAGTACCTTTCATCCTCATCCCTGTGTCTCCATAGCTATCAGGGGCATCTATCTCATAATGTATGGTCGACATCATACTCCAAACTTGCCCATTTGAGGTAGAAAATGGTGGCCCTGGATACATACCTAAAGTTAACGAGCACTGTAGAAATCAATCACTTGTTTACAGGGATGAACGATGGTGCCGCTGCTGTGGTTCTTATGAAGACGACAGAAGCCAAGAGGCGGATGCTGAAACCTTTAGCAAGAATAGTTTCCTGGTCACAAGCTGGTGTGGAGCCTTCCATTATGGGAGTAGGACCAATTCCAGCCATAAAACAAGCTGTGAGTGTCTTTGGCAATGTGTATATGTGCCTGTGGGCACACATGGGCATATGTATGACAGGGTTTGAGGAAGCCCAGACTGCTTTCAAACTGTGTAGCCCAAGGATGTCTTGAGCTTCTGCTCCTCCTTCTAGTCCCTTCCCAAATGCTGGGGTTACAGGTATGTATCAGTAGTGACCTCAACTTTAAGGTCATTACAGATGTGGATCTTTGTGGTGCTGAGCATGCTGCTCTGTGGTAAGCAGTCTTTAAATCCCTGCTGTACGCCCGGAATGTAAGGACGTGCTTTCACTGTTTCTGCTACCTGGTTTCATTTGCTGCCACTCAGCCCCCAGACCTGCCCACCCCACCTTCTTCAGCACTGGGATTACAAGTGCACATCTCCATGCCTGCTTTGTTAAAATTAGTTCTGGGGATCAAACTCAGGGGCCATGCAAAGCATTTACCTGCAGTCACTTTGCCAGTTCAAACTTTAAAAGTACCAGATCCAAATTACTGTATTAAACCTAACAGGATAGTCTGGACTTTCTACCTTAGGGATATAGTACATCCTTTTGGTTTTAAGGCTGGACCTTGCTCTGCATAGTTCAACCTGGCCTCAAGTTTAGTTGCCCAGTCTCAGCCTCTTAAATAGACTACAAGTGTACCACTTTATGTAGGTAGAGAATAACTTTTATACTGTGGTGCTTCACTAAAGGAGTCCATCATAGTGCTTTTCTGGGAACATTATGTAGACTGGTTTTGCCTTTTGAACCCTTGGGACACAGGCAGAGGCCACCATAGCATACCTAACTTCATAGTAGCAGTTTTGAGTTTCAAACATTGTGTATTTGTCAGTAACTAATGGTTTTACTTCAGCTAACTTTTTCTGTAGGTTGCAAAAGCAGGCTGGACCCTGGAGGATGTTGACCTGTTTGAAATCAATGAAGCCTACGCAGCTCTCTCTGTTGCAATAACTAAAGAACTTGGATTAAACCCTGAGAAGGTAACCACATGAAGCTGTGCCATTTGCCAGCGAAATTGCACAATCCATACTTAAGGTCATAAAAAACAAATGAGGTTGCCAAGAGATGAACTAGTTTTCCGTTGACTTATTTTTCACAGCAAAGAACTTGAGTTCACGATGAATAGGACATTTCCAGAAACAAGGGAAATCAGCAGGGGTCACAGGCAGTGTTTACTCCTAAACTTTACAATGACAGTTGAAGGGGGGGTGGGGGTGGAGTGCCAGCATAACACTGAGAGGAGAAAGATAACTGGTGTGTCAGCCTGTGTCCACAGAAGCCTGACTTAAAGATCCTCTCCTTCTCTGTAGGTCAACATCGATGGAGGAGCCATTGCCTTGGGCCATCCCCTGGGAGCATCTGGCTGTAGGATTCTAGTGACCTTGTTACACAGCCTTGAGAGAACGGGCGGGACTCGTGGTGTGGCAGCCCTGTGCATTGGGGGTGGGATGGGGATAGCAATGTGTGTTCAGAGAGGATGAGCTGCTTGACAGCCATCGCCCTTAAAGGATTCTTGTTAAATGAGTGAAACACTAATGTGTGAAATCAGAGGACCAAAGTGAGAACAGGAACTCAGGTGGACAGCTCACTGTACTTTAATGTGAGATACCCAAGGCTACATTGCACCTGACACTGCTATAAATAAAAGGGAAATCCAATCAGTCATCAAGGGCTCCAGAGTGAACAGCATTTTCATAACTTCCATGTTTATCGTCTTTAGTTTCCGGGTGTAATTTTATCAGATCATCGATTCGAAGAATAGTGATTGCAGCTTCTGTTGCAAACTTCAGGCTCTTCACTTTAACTATGGTTGGTTCAAACACCCCTGCTTGCTTGTTGTCTCGTGGTTTTCCATTGATCAAATCAAGACCAATCCTGTAATGGTGAAAATGTGATTCAATGATCTCTTCCAATCCGATGTGGTGTGTTCCAGCTATTCTAGTCTAGTCCTAAAGACTTTGGGAGTTCTAACAAGTATACCTCTGGGAGTAGGAAAGCTCGTAGTGTAGTAGAAAATCCTTATCTGCCAAACATTTAGCCAATAGTCACACGTTGCACAATGATATTACATTCAGCCAAGTTATACATACAGTTTGGTGGTCAAAAGATTCTTTAGCCTAGTGCCAGCATAGCTGTCTTGCTTGGCATTAAGTATTCTTTACGAGGTTCTCATAAGGAGCAGATTATCTAATGACATACTATTTTGAGGCTGTATTCACTAAAGCTGAGGGGGCTGCCTGAAAAGGGTAAAAAATAACCTAAGATCATTCTCTTAGCCCTTCCTATAGACTACCTAGGGAGTCAGAATGGGATCCAGAGTTGACACCTACAACATAACTGCTAAAAGTCAGCAGCCAACAACATATAGATAGGTCCCAGGCAACAATGATGCCTGTAATGTTTTAGTATGTGACAATTCCCTTCAAGTATTTCCCAAAGGCACAGGGAAGGACAAAGGTACTGTGATGAACTTAAAACAGACCCATGACAGTTGACAACGGAACACGAAGAAACTATATACTCACCACTTCAGGTTTTTACGTTCTGGGTTAACTTGAGCCTCATTGTGAAAAGCTCGTAACTTGGCAACCAGGTCAGTGGAGTCTTGGGCAGCATTCACTGCCAGTGTATTAGGAATAACAAGAAGAGACCTTGCAAACTCTGCAATAGCAAGCTGTTCCCGAGACCCCTAAGAAGAAAAACATGAGGTGTCTTCATGCAGGCATACCTAACACCACCACCTCTTACGCCTCTCTGAAACCACCCTTACCATACTGGTTGCATAGTTTTCAAGGTATATGGACAGGGCGGCTTCTACAGCACCTCCTCCTGGGACTACAGATTTTGACTCCAAAACTCTCTTCACCACACAAAGAGCATCATGTAAAGATCGCTCCATTTCATCACACATGAAATCATTTGCTCCTCGTAAGATGATTGATGCAGATGTACGAGCTTTGGTACTATGAAAAACAAAAAGTGAAGTCATTAGTATTTTTTAAGTAATGAAAGTAGTATTAACTGCAAACACCCTTATTAAATCCTAATCACAGTTAAAGATATGGCAGCAAGAACAATGTCTAGACCATGCAGAAGAGACAAACACACATTTCATCTCAATTTACAATGGCCCAATATTATTTTATCCCATGCGTATAACTGCTCCTATCACTGAGAGACTAGAGCAGCAAATAAATGGGAAAGAGCTCTTTACAACCGAACCCGCATTGCTGGGTAACTTCCAACAGTCACTCTTACTTTTTGATTAAGATCAGCTCATCATCACAAATTCTCTCCTGGACCACTTCTTCTGCTTGCCCCAGCATGGTAGCTTCAAAAGTTTCTTCGCCTTCCAAATTGGCCAGTGTGGACAGGATACTTGCTGTATAAGACAGTCATAAGAACACACATTTGCTTTCAAGATTGTAGTTTAGTGATTTTCCTTATGAGAAAAGCAATGCATTATTTCAAGGGTACAGACAAGCCACTACAACTTAACACAAAACTGTCAATTTCAAGGTAAAATCAATTTACTCATTTCCAACAATCTCAGCAAACAACTTTCCCAATCACCTGGGAAAAAAAGTGGCTCCCTGGAGACCACTAGAGCACAACAAAGAGAAGCTTTTGAAGTGTCAATATTTCAATTCAAGACTTCTGACCCAGTCACGTACATCACTAATAAGTGGTTTGTCTCAGGCTGGGAGAAGACATACCTCCAGAAGCTTTAGCGATACGCTTGAGATCCCTTTTTAGAACTCGTCTAACAGCCATGGCACCAGCCTCCACAAAGTACTTCAGACACATATCATCTATCCCACCAGTGGTCAGAATAACATTGGCCCCAGTCGCCAGAATCTTTTCAATTCTCTCCTTGGTGATGTCTGATTCTCTACAGAGAAATGTTTCAGTAAACCAAAATTAACAACTTCAGTATTTTAGATTATGCAGTTGTAACTTTCACTACAATTTGAGTTCTTAATTAAGGGTGGCAAAAAAAGGGAAAAAAACCAAAATGATAAACATCCCCCTTTGTCTTCTCCCACTTAAAGATGCAATAGATTTATTACTAATGATCATCCCAAGTCAGCATCACTAAAGCTGTATGAAGTCAAGACAAGAGACAAGTAAGAGACACACAAATCCAGTCCTACACTGTAGAATAAAAAAGTGGTTCAGCGCTGAACTAGAAGTTACATAAGACCAGGAAATGAAAACCCTTAAGAGGTATAAACAGTATATTCAACAGTAGATGGTGAAGATGCTTAATGTTCTGAAGCACAGCTATGATGGTCAAATTGCATTTTTTTTCAAATGAGCCTATGATTTTTGTTTTGTTTTGTATTTTTGTTGTTGTTTTTTTTGAGACAGGGTTTCTCTGTGGCTTTGGAGGCTGCCCTGGAACTAGCTCTTGTAGACCAGGCTGGTCTCGAACTCACAGAAATTCGCCTGCCTCTGCCTCCCGAGTGCTGGGATTAAAGGCGTGCGCCACCACCACCACCCGGCTGAGCCTATGATGAAAATGTCTGGAGAGATGAAAAGACTCCAGAGATAAGTAATCTATCAAGGACAGACAGCTTGACCAGAGTTCATCAGTGGACAATTCATTCATTGTTTGTTTTTAAAGACAGGGTTTATCTGTGTTGCCCAGGCTGTCCTGGAACTTGTTCTATAGACCAGGCTGGCCCAAACTCAAGAGACTCCCCTGCCTCTGTCTTCTGGGATTAAAGGCACGTGCCACCACTGCTTTGGCTCATTTGTGTACATTTCTAACAAGTGTCAGATGAACTCATCAGGAAGCATGAAAATCATAAGCAAATATATATGAGATCACAAATCAATTATTGAACCCATATCACATCTACACAACATATTGGTCAGTCACAGTCCAATTACACAATAGCAATCCCATCAGAGTAAAATGGAATAAAGCATGTCTGCTGGAGTGATGCCACAGCAATCACTACCAGCTGTGTCACACTGTAGTAGTACATAGTATCTTACATGAGAACTATAGCAGCCCTACATAGTATCTAACACTCAAGGCAACACTCTGCTGCCCATGTTGACTACAATTCCTCAGCTTAAATGATCTACCTGTTTCAGACATGTAAAGATAGGACATGCCTGGCTTTACTATTATTTTGTATCATACTTCTACCAAGCACAAACCTTGATTTACAAACACCTTTTCACAGGCAAGTCTCCCCACATACCTCTGTCTAATTTGGTCCAATTTCTCAGGATCTGTAATAACCACCTGCACACCAAGCTTCATTTTTGTTTTCTGCAGGCTGAAGTCAAGACATGCAATTTTTGCATTAACTATCCTCTTGGGCATGCCTGTAAATGAATAAAAGGTTAACTATAACAATGCTAGGGTTCATAGAAGAGACTTATCCTTAAAACCATAACAGGAAAAGTTCACGTTATATATAAACCAAATTAAGATAGCAATTCATTAATAAAGTCTGACAGTTGCAAGTGCACACAATTCCTCTCAATCTATACCCACCACAAAATAAAAAATTGTTTTTTTTTTAAAGGCAGGGTTTCACTATGTAGACAAGGCTTAACAGTGCCTCAGTGCTCAAATTAAATGCCTGTATCACAATGCCCACCCTCATCACAAATATTACAGCCTATTAAGAGGTATACTAAGGGGCTGGAGAGATGGCTCAGAGGTTAAGAGCACTGACTGCTCTTCCAGGGGTCCTGAGTTCAATTCCCAGCAACCACATGGTGGCTCACAACCATCTACAACAACCATCTACAATTCAATTTGGTGCCCTCTTCTGGCAGGTAGGCAGAACACTGTATGTGTAACAAACCAACAAACAAATAAATAAAAGATGTATACTATGAAAAATACACAGATAGACAAAACTAAACCAACAAACAACAATGCTGACCCTTACGTACCCTGAGATCCCACCACACAGTTCAGTGCATAGCCATTGATCAGCATGCTTTCTACCTGACTTCTTCCATGGGCTTTCAGAATATTAACAGAATTGACTGGATATCGAGGCTGGCCTCTCAGATCTGTGTATTTGACAGCAAGTACAGCATCTACCACCATATTAGCAAAGAAATCACCATTTCTGAGACAACAGTTAAGGACAGCAATAGTCTTGGAATAAAAGACCCAAAGACACAAAAAGCAATTCAACTAGACTTTCTTTTAGCAAGACAATTCACCAATGGAAGACAGTAAGTAGTACTACTATAGTCAGGGTGACTTCCCTCTATGCAGCACCATCTGCACTCCAAACCACCCTCTCACCACAGCAAGGCTGGGGTGGCAGCAGCAGTTTCAGTCACTTTTCTCTAACAAGATCAAGTTGCATTAGATAAGAATTATAAATTTTATTGCATAAAATTGACATTCTATAAAAGCCTAGTCTAATTTTTAAGAGTGAAAGGGGGTTAGGGTCAAATTTCACTGAACATTTAAGGATACATTCCAATAATTTTGGAAGACATGGATGTCTTAGCGGCATTAATCAGACAGTCTCTTCCAAGTTCGTCTGTGTTAATAATTAGGTTCTCACTGATATAGCGCACTGCTTCCCTGGGAAAGGAACGGCAAAGAAAAATATAAAAACATCACTCAGAGGTTTTGCGTTTCACCACATCCAACACGCTGTGAAATATCGGGCGATGGTTTTATGTTCAGCCATTTCATATAGGGGGGAAGACACTGAAAAGCCCTCCCCCTTCAGATCATGGCACCTTTCATCTATCCCATAAGCATAGCCACTATAATCTACTGGGAGAAAACGTGGTAGTCAACTGGGAAAACAGAGGTACACTGGGCTGAATATTTCAATACTACCACCCAAATGCTAAGACAGAACATTGCCAACTAATGATTAATCACAACATTAAGACAGACTACAACCATTACAGGAAATAACATTTTCTTTCAATATAATCTTACTTGCAGGCAAGCCGATAGCCACTAATAACTGATGTTGGATGAATTTTCTGTTTGACTAGTTCATCTGCATTTTTCAGAAGCTCCGCTGCAATAATTACCTGTTGATTAAACACTGCTTTAAGTTTTCATGTCATTCAATATGCACAATGCATACAGGAAAACATCAAAATTATCTAATATTGTTATTTTTATCTTATTTACTTATTTGTTCAAGACAGGGTTTCCTTGTGTAGCCCTGGCTATCCTGAAACTCAGAAATCCACCTTCCACTGTCTCCCAACTGCTGGAATTAAAGGCATGCACCACAATGTCCAGCTATGACCTAGCATTACTAACCAGCCACAGCAGACAAGTAGCAGCTTGCTGAAAACATAAAATGGAGAACACCACAAAGTAGTCTGTGCAAATGGTCCAAGCTACAAACACCAGAAATTTCTACTCTGAATTCCCAAATTTCCTGTCCATGGTTAAAATCCAAAACTATCCATTAGTTTTGAACAACAAAGAAGCCGAAACCTGGTAACATTTTCTTTAAATGAGAAACTCTTTTCTACATGTAAACATTATCATGGCAAGGGGGTTGAAAATAAGCATCCAAATTCCCAGTATTTAAAATAAGCTTATATTCAACTACCTTATATGATTTTTCTCCTACTCAAACTGCACAAAGTAGGTGCAATGATTAGTTTTCAAATGTTTATGAGACCATAAACACCTGACATATCTAGAGTAAAGGATTCTTTCATGGGTTCAACTCTAATAAACGGGCTTATTCTCTAGCCACTCCCAGGTAGTGCCTCACCACAGAGGTAGTTCCATCTCCCACTTCTTTGTCTTGCAAGTCAGCCAGCTCACAAAGAACTTTAGCTGCAGGGTGTTCTACCTCCAGTAACTTCAGGATGGTGGCCCCATCGTTGGTAATGGTTACATCCTGAGAAATATGAAGGAAGTGGGTCAACACAGAAACCAAGCTCCACGAGGCAAGGCCACCAAGAACAGTGAGATATACTTACACCAATGTCATCCACCAACATTTTATCCAAGCCAACTGGCCCCAGAGAACTTTTCACAATGTTGGCAATGGAAGCTGCAGCCATAACTGAAGATATAACAATGGGCGAAAAATTAGAACAATTCACAAGCTAAGAGACACCAAGCCAACTATGATTTTCTTAAACCTACAAATCTGCAATAATTACGATTTTTGGGGAATTAAAAAAATAAAATAAAAACACACCTATTTAAGGACTAGTGACTCCAAAGCAATACCGAGAAACCCTGTCTTGAAAAACCAAAAAAAGGACTAGTGAAGGTTAACTATTTTTTTTTTCTTTTCAGAACAGGGTTTCTCTGTTTAACAGCCATGACTATCCTGGAACTAGGTCTGTAGCCCAGGTTGGCCTCGAACTCAGAGACCCACCTGCCTCTGCCTCCCAAGTGAGTGCTGGGATTAAAGGTGTGTGCCACCATGGCCGGGCTAGGTTAACTTTTTTGAGTACTGGAATGTCACAAAGAGGTCAATGCCTCAAAAAATAAGTAATCCCTTATGTGCATTGGTGTAAAGGTGTCAGATCTCCTGGAAATACAGTTAACAGACAGTTGTGAGGGGCTCTGTGGGTGCTGGGAATTGAACTCGGGTCTTCTGGAAGAGCAGCCAGTGTTTTTACTGGTGAGCTATCTCTCCAGCCAGCAAGAAAAATTTCAGGGTTAACATCTCAGCCTTTTCTTCAGACTCTAGCATGTTTTAATAAGAATAGTAGTCCATCTCGGTAGTAACTGTATTTCGGGGGGAGGGGGCACCTTAACAACAACAAAAAAGCACAATCACGATCGGAAAACGTTAAGTGCTTAAAAAAAAAAAAACAGGTTCAACTACCAGCAAACCACGTGTTATTTCGCCTATCGTTCAATTTGCAAACCGTTAAGTATCCCTGGGAGCAGCTATCAACTGAAAGACAACCGGCCGGAGGGAAGCCACGCAAAGACGACCACCTACATTCTGTGGGCATGTTCTCCTGGGCAAATGGAACGGGTGGAAACTACTCCTCTCTGGTCGTGTCCGGGATGTTCCAACCCGGTTAGAACCAGGACAAAGGGACCGTTGAGGCGTGGCGGGCGATCAGGTCTGGAGCTAGCCTTCCGGGGTAGCGCAGTCCCCACTCGGGGCGTGGACGCCCACACCCACCCTGGGCACCTCCCAAAACGGGCTTTCGCGTGCCGTGCTCCAACGTTCTTCCCAGGGCCGAAGGGCGCCATGGCGCCGGCTGGGCCCGCGGGTGAGGTCCGCACTGGGCCCGGGCCTCCACGGGGACTTCGCTGTGCCGAGGGGGAAGCCCCGGCCTAGCGACCGCAGTCGGGCCTCGGCCTGGGCCGCGGGCCTGGCGCAGGATTCTCGCGCCCTTACCATTCTGGGAGCGGATCGCCTCTCCAGTGCTGCGGTCCCCGAACACGGACAAAGGGCCCTCCATCGTTAGGGAACCTGGCTGGCCTCGCTAACACCGCGGACGGCCGGGATCTCCGCTCAGAGGCCGGACTGCGGCCACCACAGCGGGGAACGCGGACGGCGTGGAGAGAGAGGCCCGAGCGACGCCGCACGGGATGCTGGGTACCAAGCCCCGCCCGCTTTCCAAGCTCCGCTAACCGCTAGGCCCGCTGGGAAAAAGAGGATGGGCGAGACTGAAGACGCCGGAACTGGAGGGGGGGGTGGGTCTACAATTTATTTATCCAATTAGAGGCTGGACGAGAAAGGCGCGGAAGTGAGGAACCGAAGTTGGGCCGCGGGAGGAGTGGGGCGGCGCTCGTGCGTTCTCGCGCCTTCTAGAGAAGCTGATAGGGTTGTGGTGGGAGGCGGGCTACGGACCCTAGCTCCCAGGTACGGCTGGGAGCTCGCGCGCCTTTCATCTCTGAGCTCCGGTCATAGTTAGGAGTCAGGGAGCATTCGGAGAGTCAGCTGAGACTCCGTCCAGGCTCAGCGAGGTTTGGGGTCTGCAGCTGGGCGACCACTGCCTGGGGTCACGCATGCCGCAGGGACGGACTTCCGAGAAAAGAGCTACGCGAGCGTGCCCCGCCCCCCGCCTCGACGTCAGCGGTGGTTGGCGAAGCGGAGATACCGATCGCTTATTCGGCCACTCAGTACAAGGGAGCTTGTTGTTCCGGGTCCCGGAGTGACCGACGACCTGCTGGCATCTGTAGCTTTTCCCCCAGTTAACATGGCTGCCGCTAGTCGTTCTCCCTGACGACCGTGAGCAAAGCAAGGCCGGGTACTGGGAGGCTTTGCCTACGTCCCATCGGCGATGGCGCTTCAGCCGCGGGTCTGGAAATGGCTGTCAGTTTGCGGGAAGCTGGGTAATTAATCTCGCCCCGCGTCGTTGCCTGCTCGCTGTGCACAGTATATGGGAATTTGCAAATCCGATTTTGCACCCGAGGTTCCGCTTGCGGAAGCGAACGCACTAGCCGCTCCCGGGGTGACCGTGGGACGTTATGGGTCGGTGGTGATAACCTTGGTCAGACGGCCATTTCTACCCGCTTCTGGGCCTTGTGATGGGAATGGTTAGAGCACGCCCCTCTGGCGCCCGTATTAGTCGTTTTAAACATCCACGTGGTCGTTTTCATTTCCTAGAGTGTGGGTTCGCAGCCCGCTCGACCAGTTCCTCGCCAGCGATTCAGCCCGAAGTGGAGACTAAGGAAAACGAAGCTGTGGCCCCAGTGTTCACCAACCGGAACCCTCGGAATCTGGAGCTCTTAGGGGTAGCCAGGAAAGAACGGGGCTGGGCTACAGTGTGGCCCAACCGTGAGTTCTGGCACAGGTAATTAATTTGTGACTGACCCTGCCAGATAAGCCCAAGGTTAAATTGGGAAGAAAACTTTAAAGTTAATTTGAGAATAAGAGATTATGTATTGATCCCTCTCTGAAGAGGTGACATGTCAAAAAGCCGACATCTAAACCGGTGGTGGTGGTTTACACCTTTAATCCCAGCACTCCCGAGACAGTCAGGCGGATTTCTGTGAGTTCAAGACCAGCCTGGTTACAAGCGCTAGTTCCAGGACAGGCTCCAAAACTACACAGAGAAATCCTGTCTCCAAAACAAAATCCCTGTCTTAAAACAACAAAGCTGAGCCCTAAAGGATAAGAAGACCACCATCTGACATGAAGGACATTCTAGTAGAGGAGGCTGCTAGGCTGGGGTTGATTAGCTCCTCTGAGAAGCCCACAGGCCTGCGTACCTGGAGTTCAGTAAGTAAAGGGCTGAGTGACGTTTGGTGGAAATAGAGTAGTAAGTACAATTAGGTTATTACCTTGCAGATTAAGATAAATAATGGAGAGTAAAGTTTGGGCCTTAATTTTTAAGGCGGGGAATAAAAGGAAGGCCAATTAAAAGTCTTTTAAGAAAAATGAGATTATTTATTTATTTATTATTTATTTATTTGTGGAGGCTGGAGCAGTAGTTCATTAGTTAAAAGCACTTACTGAGTTTGCACAGGACCCAGGTTCGGTTCCCAGCACCCACAACTGGCTGTAACTCCAGTCTGTAACCACAGACACACACGTAAAAATAAATGTTAAATTTTATTTTGGGAGAACTATGAGGGTTAGACCAGGGCCTTCATCCACACAAAGTAAGTGTTCTGCCTCTGGACTATACTCCCCAGCCCTAAGATGACTATTTACTGAAAACTTTGTATTTACCAGGAGCTATGCTAGTTATTTTGTATTTGTTTATTTTCTTTAATTATGTAAACTACATTGCAAAGCAGGTGTAGCAGGTTTTTTTTTTTTTTTGCCACTTTCTCTAAAGGAAGGAGAGATGATGTGGGAATACATGCTGGGGCTAGGATTCAGACACATCAAGTTCCATTGTGAAGTCCTGTGGAAGTACCTTTACCCATTGAGCTGTCTTAACAGCCTAGTCACTAAATTCTTTTTTTTATTATTATTATTTATTTTATTAGTTCTAGTTAGGGAACAAGCTTATTTCAAGTCCCTTCTCCCTCTCCCTCCCCTCCCCCCCAACCCTCCTCCCCCATTCAACTAAATTCTTGAGAAACATAGGCTTTCATTCACCTTAAGTAATTTAACTTCTTAATTTTCTTTTCATCCTACTTAGGTTGCGAGTTATAAAGACTCAGCATCACATAGAAGCACTGGTTGAACACCAAAATGGCCAGGTGGTGGTTTCAGCATCCACTCGTGAATGGGCTATTAAAAAACACCTTTATAATACCAGAAATGTGGTGGCTTGTGAGAGTATAGGACGAGTGCTGGCACAGCGATGCTTAGAAGCAGGAATCAATTTCATGGTCTACCAACCAACTCCTTGGGAGGCATCCTCAGACTCGGTATTTTTAATTCTATATATTTACTTAAAAGATAAAAAACTCTGTGAGTTCAAGGCCAGCCTGGTCAAAGGCATGAATTCCAGCATAGCCGGACTATACAGAAAAACCCTGTCTAGAAAACCCAAGACAAACAAACAAAAAGTTTGGCGTGTTGTGGTAGAAGCAGAGACACAAATGGAGCTCTTGAGTTCAGGGCCAGGTTAATAAAGCAAGTTTCATCCCATCAGGAATAAATTGAGACCCTGTCTCAAAAAAAAAAAGGAACATTGATTGTTGGTGACACAGGTCTATAATTCCAGGGGTTAAGGCAGAGGAATCTCAAGTTGAGTAACTTAGTAAGACCCTGTCTCAGAATTTTAAAAGGAAAAGTGGGGACTAGGACTATGAATCAGCGAAAGCTCTTGGATAGCATGTTGGGCACCTTGTGTTCCATCCACGGCGCGCACACGCAGGTACAGAACCGGGGATGCAGCTCTGAGAGCACTGCCTAGCATGTGCAGTCTAGCCACACAAAGACAACAGAAGGCATTTTGTTAGTTCTTGGTATTAGATATACTTACATTCTTTCCTGAGGATATTTCATGCGTTAGGCCTGTGGCAGGGTACTCTGACAGCATTCAATTTTTTTGCAAGTCCATATGAGCTAGTGTTCCCATTGTCTGCATACCTGAGGTCAGTCAGTATTGTGTAAGATTAAATGCTGGAGTCTAGGATGTTAGCACTGCACTTCCTAGTGTTAGGCTGGCATCTTACCCATGCAGTTGAAGATGCTCATCTCTGATACCTCTCCATTTCCTTTTTCTTCTGTTCCCAAGATCACTCAGAGAAAAACCAATGCAGCCCGGGAAGTCAACAAGATGAAATCAATTGTTTCTTTGTCTCTTGGGAAGCAAACATTTTTTCAGGTGTTCTGAAGGCTAACCCAATGTTTTCCTTTTTTTTTTTTTCAAACCTCCCCTGATCTTCAAACCAGCTAAAATCTCTCCAGAATGCCATGACAGAAAGTGGTGTGGTGCTTCAGGAGCCTCGGAGAATCTATGAATGAAATAGAAGAAATAGAAGCATTAACTGCTTTGAAAGTGTAAACATAAAATCATCACTTGCTACTCCAGCTATAAGTGTCTGCATCTAAAAACAGAAAGAAAGGAATGAAGGAAGAAAAGAAGAGTTTGCAGGGAGAACCAGACTGAAAGCTTCATAGCAACAATGTTAACAGTGGAGAGCTATTTAAAGTCGACCTCTTCCCACTTCTGTGTGTGCTTGTGTGGTTTTGTTCTTTTAATCAAGGGCTAAACTTGGCCTCTTTTGTGAACATGAGGAGTACTTAAGAGAAGCAGTCACTACTTATAACTATTTAAAGGACAAATTAAAATGTTTATAACAAGCTGTAAACCCTTCCTGTGTTACTCTCTAAGCACCTTGTGGCCAGTCATCAGGGACTGAGGATTGCTTGCTGCCCAGGATGGGGGCTGGTGTTTTGCTTTGTTTTTAATGTCAGTGTAACTGTAAACTCAGAAGTACTGTGGCGATACACTGCAAATGCCTTATACACTTCCTAGGACTCCCTTTCTGGTGATTTCAGGCAAATCTTTAGAGATAAATGAGTGTGAGGAGTAGCCAGTGGGAGGTAGAAATGATGGGTGGTGAATGTTCATTTGAGAATTCAAACCTGGCTATAGGAAAAGCCTTAGAGTCATACAAGGGGCTGGAGAGATGGCTCAGTGTGGTTAAGAGCACTTGCTGCTCTTGCAGAGGAACTGGGTTTAGTTTCCATGACCAGAATAGTAGCTCACAGCTGGTACTACAGTTCTAGGAAATCCAACACCCACTCTGGCCTCTACAGGTACTGCACACATGTGGTGCACATACACACCAGAAGAATACATCTAATAAATTAAGGGTTTTTTTTTGTTTTTTGAGTGAGAAGTTTTATTAGAAAGGGGAGGGAGGGGGAAGTAAAGAGAAAAGAGGTAAAGAGACACAGAGGACAGAAGAGGGAGACAGGAACAGAAAGAGAGGAATAAAATTATGTATTAAGAACGGCATGTAGCCGTGGTGGTGGTGGTGGTGGTGGTGGTGGTGGCGGCGAACGCCTTTAATGTGGGGGCCCAAAAGATTGATTATGATATTTTGGAGCATGGGCCTCAAGCTCTATCCCAGGAGCTCGAATCTCACATTGTCTTTTAGATGGCAGCTGGTTTCCACCAGATGGCTTGGCCTCAATGGAGAATGTCTCCTAGTTTGTATAACAACAGACCTAGGCCCTGGGTGGGCCTACACATATTCTGAGGGCTTTTACGTTCCTAGGGACTGGTGAGAGGCTGGGGAGGACGTGCAGTTTTAGAGGTGCCTCTAAGATTAAAGGAAATATTTGATATCAGCTTTATACACGATAATGGATGTCTTCTGATATCACCCCCACTGTTGGAAAGCTATTTAAGAGGATGCTTGAATAAACTGGACTCCAGTCTCCAGATGGACTGAGAGCCCTCCTGAGATGACAAGATGTCTGTGTCTTGTCCTTAATGCTGTTGGGTAGCTAGGAGTTTCCCGGACCAGCATTCCCCCATTCAGGGATGGACCTGGCGGGTCTGATTGCAGCCCCAAAGACATCAGTGCAGAATAGATAGCCGCTGTAGTGGTGGGACTAATACTAGCTGATCCCTGGCACTTTAATCCCAGCATTTGGGAGGCAGAGGCAGGCGGATATCTGAGTTTGAGGCCAATCTGGTCTACAGAGTAAGTTCCAGGACAGCCATGGTGTTATCTTATTTTTATTGTATTTTTTTAGGGGGGGGGGATAGTTTGAGATAGGGTTTCTCTGTGGCTTTGGAGACTTGTCCTGGAACTTGATCTTGTATACCAGGCTGATCTCGAACTCAGAGATCTGCTTGCCTCTGCCTCCGAGTGCTGGGATTAAAGGTGAAGGGACCAGCTTCCCTTTTGGCAGCCATAACGGCCAAACACGTGCTCTATGACCTTGTCTTAGTCACTAGAAAGTCAGATGCCTGCCTCGTGACAAGGAACCAATCAGAAGTTAGCTGGTGGCGCTATGCTTTACGACCCTGGGTGTACTTTCCGTAAAGTTGCAAGCACACAGCAATGACGCAAAGCATAGCAACCACCCTGGGAGGGCCTATGGGCCATAACAACCAATTGGCCAATCAACACAAGGCAAGCCCTCCAAGACTGGAGGCACACCAATAGTGAGCCTATGCGTACCCCTAGACACTCTGCTCTATAAGATCTCTTGAGAGGCCCTAGGAGCTGTCTTTTTCGAGCCATCTGCCATGGCGGGTGGGTGAAAGACCCGAGCTAACATGGGGTTAGCTCGTTAAATCACAATAAAGCCTCGTGCAGTTTACATCAAGCTCTCGAATCCGCCTAGTGATTGGGGTGACCTCGAACGTGGCCTGGGACCCCGATACCTGAGTTTTCCAGGGGTCTAACAAAGGCATGCACCACCAATGCCCAGATCCCTGTGTGGTGTTATCTTGCACAAATAAATCCTGTTTGAAGGTCAGAGGGTGGAGCTTGACACCAGCTAACCATAGAGATCTGGAGGGCTGGACAGACAGGAAGTGAGGTAGCTGGGCAGAAACAGTATATAAGCAGGGAGAAATTGGAGCAAATCACTCTTCTCTCTTGAGACGCTAAGGACATAAGTTGTGGTGGGGGCTTGCTCCTTCTCTCTGATCTCTCAGCATTCCCCTCTATATCTAAGTTCGGCTTTTTATTATCTATTCCAATTAACTCCATTTACAACCCTTTCTCAAAAAACTTCGTGGGGGGGGGGGTCTGGAGAGATGGCTCAGTGGTTAAGAGCACTGGCTGCTCTTCCAGAGGTCCTGAGTTCAATTCCCAGCACCCACATGGCAGCTCACAACTGTCTGTAGCTCCAGTTCTGGGGGATCTGACTTCACACCAATGTACATAAAATAAGGTTAAATAAATAATAGTAAAAAAAAAAAACTTCTTAGGCTGGAGCTTGGGGGGATCATGGCAGCTCTCTGAAAGTTTGTATAATGTGGAGAAGACATATAGACAAGGTGCCTTTACTTAGGAGAAATGTATTTTGAGAAGTCATTTTATTTTTTAAAAGATTAATTTATTTATGTGCATTGGTGTTTTTCCTGCATATATGTCTGTGTGAGGATGAATGATCCCCTGGAACTGTTGTTACAGACAGCTGTGAGCTGCCATGTGGGTGCTGGGAATCAAACCCGGGTCCTCTGGAAGAGCAGCCAGTGCTCTTAACCCCTGGGCCATCTCTCCAGTCCCATTAGAAAAATGGTAAGCATGTGCCTTTTTTTTTTTTTTAGAACACTGACTCCGAGGCATTCAGCATCCAATGGCCCAGGAGTCACACTCTGATCAATAAATACCCAAGTGGAAGCAAAGGTATATTTTTTTCTTCCCTTGAGTTAAATACGAAGGGAAGCACCTTACTTAGAAGCCCAGGTCTCTATAAGATTGCAAGTCCAGAACTGAGAGGGTACATTAGACCACAGACTAGTGAGCATGGAGACTGGTCACTGCTTACCTTAGGCAGGCATTTCTACAGGGTAAAGACCACACTAGCTGATCGCCGGTACTAAGGATGCTTTCAGCACAGCTAGGAGCTCTTGACTGCAATACCCTCTGCTTTCCTAGCAAGTTAAGATCAAGGCTGTGGGCATCACATGCAAATTCGTACCAAACTGGTTCTGGCTGTAGCAGGCCACACGCGACGAGAATTAAAGCCCTGCGCAGCGGAAACGCGTGGACAGCACGTGGCCACATCCGGCGCGCCTCGGAACTAGCGGCTATGGACGTAGGTGCTGACGAGTTTGCAGAGACCCTCTCATTCCTGCACGATATCATCGATGAGGCAGACTTTGTGGGTAAGGTACCTGGGGTGGCAGGCCCTGTCATCAGAGTCGCCTGTCAGGGAGAGCCTGCGGACTGGTGTGTGTGGTTCAGTACTAGGTGGGTCTCCAGGCCAGAGGGGCTCATAGAACCGAGAGGAGGTTTTCTCACTCCTGCAGGGGCCTGAAGCAATCAAACCCACCGCTCCTGCTTCTGTTGTCCGGACAGCCCTGTTTGAAACAGTATGCCAGGTTCCTGTTTTCTTTTATTGACTAAATTGGCTTCTTGAGTACCCAGGTGTACACTCGTACCACCTGGAGCATTTACAGTGTGAAAGGTGGCTTGCTGTATGTATGCCCGAGGATCTGTCTATTTTGCTTTCCCGTAGGTCTCGACATAGAGTTCACAGGTCTGCGTTCAAACTCGTCCCGGCCCCAGCAGATCAGGTACGGCTGTCTAACAGTCCAGAGAGGCCCCTCACCAATGTCTCTTTAATTAGGCCTTGCCAGACTAGCACTGTTTCCCAGCAGGCTCCTGTTGGTGTTGCCTTTTTTTAATGGTTTGTGTTGGGTATTTGGGGGGGGGGGCGTTGGGGGATGGGTTGCTCCCACCTGTTAAGAGTTATGCCTTTTTTTTGGTCAAATGCTGGTAGGTGTTCCCTAATTGTGTTAACAAAGACAACCAACCGGTCTCAGATTGAGAGTAGCTGAGCCTGCCCCAGAGGCCTGCTGCCTGTATCTGAGACACCTCTTTCTTCACAGTCTCTTTGATTTGCCATCCGAGTGGTATATGAAGACCCGGCAGAGTGTTCAGCAATTTACAATATGTCAGATTGGTGAGTCTGATGTTCAACTCTTTGTTGTGGATCGTTTAAGAAGGGTTTTTTTGTTTCTGGTCTTTCAAGACAGGGTTTCTCTGTATTGCTTTGGAGGTTGTCTTGGAACCAGGCTGGCCTTGAACTCAGAGATGCCTGCCTCTGTCTCCCTAGTGCTGGGATAAAAGATGTGAGCCACCACCAACCGACTCAAGAAGATTTTTTTGTTTGTTTGTTTGTTTTTGTTGTTGGTGTTTTGTTTTTCGAGACAGAATTTCTCAGTATTGCTTTGGAGCCTGTTTTGGAACTCTGCTCTGTAGACCAACCAGGCTGGCCTCGAATTCACAGAGATTTGCCTGCCTCCCGAGTGCTGGGATTAAAGTTGTGCAGTGCACCACCAATGCCTGGCAATTTGTACTTTTTTTTTCAGAATGAAGTAGGAGTTTATGGCTGCAGTTCAAGGTTTTGTTTTTTCCCTTGATTTAGAAATCTCATTTTTAAAAACAGCTAAATTTTTATGTTTTAGTTGAAGAGTATTTGTTCTTGAGATCTGATTTCAGGGAATTAGTGTATCTTTAGTCAGGGATGTTTGTTTGAAAGCAGATCCGCCTGCCTCTGCCTCCTGAGTATGGGGATTAAAGGTGTGTGCCACCAATGCCTGACTCAGAAGGTTTTTTACTGTCTGGGTTTTCTGTTGCTTTATGACCATTTTCTTCTTTTGGTTTTTGGAGACAGGGTTTCTCTGTAGTTTTGGAGCCTGTCCTAGAATTAGTGCTTGTAGACCAGGCTGGTTCTGAACTCACAGAGATCCGCCTGCCTCTGCTTCCCAAGTGCATTATTTTGTGGCCTAAACAGAACAGTGGTCAGGGATAATCCCTGTTTAAACTATTCCATCATTTGAGCAAAAATATGTGTGGGAGTCTATTATCAAACAGACCTGGTCATATATACAGTTCCATAGACATAGTGTCCTACATAAGGTATATTTAGTAACTACTTGTTTATAATTAAATGCATTTTTATATTTGCACACTGTTACACTTTTGTGCATCTGAGATAGTTCTGTCCTTGAGACAGAATTAGATGTATACTACCAATCATCCACAATGTTTTTAGTTACCCATACCAGCAACAGTGAGTGTTCATTCCTATAAAAAACCCTGGGAATTAATGAGTCTGAATTTTTAATTCAACTTGATAGACTAAAAAATACTCTGATTTACATTTTATAATACTGGGGTCACAAACTTTATGTGAAGGACTAGATAGTAGCTAAGGTTTTGTAGGTGACATTTCTTTTACCAGGCCTGCCTTTGTAATAGGGGTCCTGAATTTTCCAGTAAAATGAATTACAAAACAAGCTCTGGGCCAAGTTTTATGGACCCCTGCTTTTTCTGGAGATGAACATCTGTGTGTGTGCGCACATCTGCATTCCCTTCTATTCTTAGGCTTTTTTTTTCTTATATATTTGAGAAATATAAGAAATTGCTCTCAAGGTTTTTTGTTCTCCATGTTTGAGTGGCTTATTTGCCTAGTAATACAGGGATTTTCAAAGTAGTCAAGTATGTCTGTTTTGTTTATTTTGAGCTTTTAAAATTTAAAGTTGATTCATCATGAGTGTGGGACACATTCTGTCCTTCCACCTTTACATCAGTTCCAGGGATTAAATTTGGGTTTATGTGTAAGTGCCTTTGTCCACTGAGTCATCTCCTGAGACAGAATCTCATACCGAAACCTGGGATCGCCTTAAACTTACAAAATCTTCCTGTCTTAACCTCTGGAGAAATGTAGCCAAATTCTAATACTCCTGCCTCTACCTCCTGAGTACTGGGATTACAGGTGTGTGTAATCGTGGCTCATTTTTAAAGCTACGAAAATGTTGATCTGCTACTTCAGTGCTTTGAAAAGTGGCCATCATTACATTTTGGTAATTTCAGCACAAGCTATGGTGTGGCAGACCTCATGCTGCAGGTCTGTTTTTCAGAAGGGTGGTTTCCCCTTTCTGCAGCCTTCTCTGTCTGTGGGTGCAAAGCATGGGCAGCAGTGTTTGGTCTTTGCTTGACATCAGGTGGCTTTGCCTCTCAGTATTCATTACTTCTGCTGTTTTTCTAGGTTTGTCTGTGTTTTCCAGCATTGAAGGAGAATCAAACAAGTATGTATCACATAACAGCTGTACTACAAACAGCTTTTCCTGTCTCTGTTTGGCAGCTTTGCCTTGAGCATCTGAATCACTTTGCCCTGGACACTCTCTGTTTTGACTTCTGGCTCTTGCATACATGCTGTGCTCTGAAGTAGTACAGTACAGTCTGTGTGGGGGTCTCCCCTGCCCTGTGTCTTAAAGTGCCCGGGCTCTCCTTTCTTTCCCATCAGCTGGTCCTTGTACATCTTTGGGAAGTAGTAAAGTGTGTTGACATCTAGAGAGACTTTGAGCTGCCTGGAAGCTCTCAGGTGCCAGCAGTCAAAAGAATGCTGCACCTTTTGGGGCACCCCTGCCTGGAAGCTGTTGCAGGAACCTGACCCATGTGTGTTGGGGGTTACCTCCATGCTGCTCTGGCTGAATATCTGGAGCCTTTGGGTGGACCATGGACCTATTTCTGCTTTAGACTTTGCTCCTCAAGGACAGTATTATTGCCTATTTTCTTTGGCCACTAGACAGAGCACCTAAATACATTCAGATTTCAGAAAACATTCAGCTCCTTAAGAAATAAAAACCCAGCCCAACCCAGGGCCTGATATATGAGCCAGGCTAGTTTGTCTGTCCTGAACCAGGCTTCTCATCACTGTCTCTACTTTATAGGTATGTAGCCCATTCCTGTAACTTCTTTCTCTTCCCTACAACGTTTGGGATCTTGGACTCGGAGTTCTCTTTCCAGGCGTCTAGTGTTCAGTTTTTGAATCAGTATGGCTTCGACTATAACAAGGTATGAACCTGAAGGAGGGGGCCATGGCTGGGTACTCTGAATGTTCTGTGCCAAGGTGTCCCCTCACTCTGCTGCCCGGCCCTCAGACAGCTCTCACTGTTCTCTTGTTCTCTTCCTGACTTCAGTTCCTCAAAAATGGAATCCCATACATGAATGAAGAGCAGGAGAAGAAAATTAGGGAGAGCATCTTGAGAGGGAACTGGAGAGTCCGAAGGTGGGTTCACACTCCCAAGTGCCTTTGCTTTCCTTATTGCTGTGTTTCCCACCTCTGGCTGGGATGGCTTTGGCCACCTGTACTTTCCTGAGAGGCCAAAACACTGCCCATTTCCTCCTCCTTTCAACTCCCATGAGAACATTACTTTAATCTTGGGGGGAAAAAGTAGTTTCGGAGGTGAGGCTCAGTTGGTAAAATGATTGCCGTGAAGAACCCCAGTTTGATCCTTAAAACACACATTTTTGTCTGCACCTGTATGTGCCTGATGCCTAGGGAGGCCAGAATAGTATCAGATCCCCTGGAACTGGAGTTGAAGAAGGTCAAGCCACCAGGTAGTGCTGGGAATTGTGAGCCTGGGTCCTCTAGAAGAGCATCCAGTGCTCTTAATTGCTGAGTCATCTCTCCAGCCCCCATTTTAAATTTTTAATATTTTGTTACTTGGAGAAAGAACTTAGATTTCTGACAGAGGAGCAGAGGGTGCATCTATGTCCTGTCTTTCTGCATTTCCACCAACATTTCTGCCTCCCTGTGTCCATTTTCAGTTCTCTGGATAAAGACCAAATTAAGGTGGTGATTGACAAGGTGACTAGGTGGCTGGATCTGGCTGAGGAAGGTGACCGGATGACTCTTCCTGGTATTGCTGGTAGGCAAGAGGCCATTCCTCCCCACCTGGGAGCACAGGGAGTGTCTCGGCAATGCACTAGGGGGTGGGGAATAATGCATCTTCTTTGCGAAAAGTCCTAATCTTAGATGCTTCATGACTGGGTCTTGACATTGCTCAGGAGGTAGCTAATCCTGAGGTGAAAGTCCTGACCTGAATTCCCAAGTCCCAAAGGCTTTTTAACCTGCATTGAGGGTCAAGGGTAGAGACTCACTCATGAGCCATTGTTTCCATCCCACTGGAATGCTTGTTTTAGTAACTTGTGGCAATCTGATCCCTCCTGTAGGTAATGCTCAGAGCAGCCTCTGTAGACCCTTTGTCATGAGTCTATGAGGTCAAAACTATCTTAAGGTTGCTTGGCTGTGACAATTTTTTAAAATCACACTCTTGAAGATTTATCTATTTATGATGTGTACAGTGTTCTGCCTGCATGTATGCCTGCAGGCCAGAAGAGGGCACCAGATCTCATAGATAGTTGTGAGCCACCATGTGGATGCTGGGCATTGAACTCAGGACCTCTGAGTGCTCTTAACCTCTGAGCTATCTCTAGCCCAGCTGTGACACTGTCCTGGTGCTGTAGTAATGAGGGTAAAATCTTCCTGCACCGTGGCACAAGCTATGGTAGGCTCAGCTCTGCTGGTAGCCACTGTACTCTTCCTGGCCACTCAGGCTCAGAAAGGAAACTTTACATCTGGAACAGCTGAGTGCCTGTGTGTATTCAATGGAGATGAAAGTGGGTGGCATCTCCAGCCCCAGCTACTGTTTCTGCTGCAATTTTTTTCTTTTTAGTATTTGTTTTAAGCATATGTGTGTTTTGCCCACATATATGTATATGTACCATATGCATGTCTGGTGTACAACATGGACAGAAGAGGGCATCCAGATCTCCTGGAACTGTAGTTACAGGTGGTTGTGAGCCACCATGTGGGTTCCTGGAACAGAATCCAGGTTTTCTTAGATCTGACTGTGTAGCCTCGGCTGGCCTGGAACATTTGATGTAAATGGGACTGGCCTCAAATTCAAAGATCTGGTTGCCTCTGCTCCAGAGTACTAGGAGCAAAGGAATGTAGCACCACATTCAAGTCACTATAAATATTTTTGCTTTTATACTTGTTATTTTTAAACTTTTTTTGCTACTGAAGTGTCTTGTGAGTTGTGACTAGTACTAATTTCTAACAGGGTTAATATGTGTGTCCCTAGACCATCACAGCAGGCACACGGTCCACATGGCTCACGCACCCTGGAAGCAGGCATCTGGCGTAGTCTACCAGTCACAGAGTCTCTCCACCCTTCTCCCAGAGGGAAGGAAAGTTTGATAGTGTCCCAGGGTCTGTGTGTGTCTTGTATTTCCTCGCTGCAGGGTTCCAAGCCTATGAAGTCCAAATGGTCCTGAGGCAGGCCCTCCCCAATATCTGGACAGTGCTGAAAGATGAAGGGGTGAGTCCTCACCTAGCTGTGCCTTCTTAGTGGCCGCCTGTCACCTCTCTGTCAGCCAGATCTGGCCTATGAAAGGCTTCTGTGTGTGTCTGTGTGTGTCTGTGTGTGTCTGTGTGTGTGTGTGTGTGTGTGTGTGTGTGTGTGTGTGTGTATGTGTGTGTGTCCCATGTTAAAGAGACACTTGCTTTCGAACTGCATCCCTGGGCGCTCACATGGCCATGCCTCTCTTCTTCACTACAGGTGATTGTGAAGAAGGTCAGTCAGCCTCATCGCTGGTACCTTGAGAATGCCTCTTGCGATCAAATCAGGTGTTGGAGGGAGGAGATTGTGCTCTCTGCAAGGGGCTTTTCTGTCTTTTTCAAGATGTTGGTGAGAGCCCAGAAGGTAGAAAACATCTCTTTTCTTTTTGTTTTTTTCCCGTCATCTTTTGTATTAGTGGTGGTGGATTGTGAAGGCTTCTTTGTCAACAAAATTATCTTTGTTCACTTAACCTTCAGAAGGCAAAGAAGAGATTAAAGATGTCTTTTTTTTTTTTTAAATAAGTGATTCTTGGGGGAGGGGGACATGGTTTCAGTGCATTTGACGGCCTCTTCTGGCACCAGACATGCATAATGCATAATGCATAGACATAGTGCAGCCCAAACACCCATTATAAAAGAAAATGACTTACTAGTAAAATTTTCTTGTGACTGTCTTTGTTTTTGCTAACCAGCTTCCTGGACCCAGCCTTGTTTTCCCATGGTGGGTTTGAGGAAAGACTATGACTGTGAGATGCTCCTATGCCTTTGTCCCTTGTAGCAGCACAATAGTTTTAACTACCTAAAATTGCTTAGAGAAATTGTGTCTGTCTTCCAGTACCCTGCCTCAAGTCTCTAGTGTTCACTCATCTCCCCCTCCCTCCTTCCATCTCCCTCCCCTTCCCTCTCTCTCCCCTGCCATCTTCCTCTCCTTCCTTTTTCCTCTCCCCCTTCCCCTCCCCCTCTCCCTTTCTCTCTTCCCTCCCTCCCTTCCCCCATCCTTCCCTCTCTCCCCTTTACCCTTCCTCCCCTTCTCTTCCTCCCTCTCTCTTCACTTCCCCCTCCCCTTTCCTCCTCCTCTTCCCCCCTGCCTGTTCCCTTCTTGCCTTCCATCTCAACAGTCCCATTACCTTGAGTAAGAGTTGAGACAGCCATGCTGGATTATCAGGTGGTCTAGAGTTATGACCTTTATTGAAAGAAGCAAGCGTCAGCCTGATGTTTAGCCTTTCCTTTATCTTACCTGTTGCTTTACTCCAAATAGCCTCTGATAGGACACAATATGATGATGGACCTACTGCATCTCCATGAAAAGTTCTACAAACCTCTTCCAGGTAGGGGTGAAGCTGTGCTCTCATAACCTCAGGTCTGTACCTGTATCATAGTCTGGGTAGAGACCAAGAGACTTCCTCAAGCAGGGTTATATGTACCCTTTTCCTGTTTGGAAAGCCTTGTGGCCTTTACCATAGAAAGTGATAGTAGTAGCATGGCTGGGGCTTTGAAATCATAGATGAGGATTAGGGACATTTCTGGTTCTTGTCTGTACTCTCTGCTTGCTTTACTAGTCAGGCTGGTGGCAAGCTGGGCTAGAGGGTGGGGTGGGTCTGCTATTTCCTTGAACCCACAAATTGATGGGTCCCCCATCTGGACCTTCCTCCTCAGAAAGCTATGATGAGTTTAAGCAGAATATCCACAACCTGTTTCCTGTCATCATTGACACCAAGAATGTGACAAAAGACATCTGGAAGGTAATGCTTTGGGGTAGGGGATGTTGTGTCTATACAGATGACACCTTTCTGTGGATTTTAACATATTCTAGTCCCCAGTTGTGCTATATTTGTACATAGATTGTGTACTTTTTCATTGGACTTTTAAAGATAGGTCAACCCTGGCTGACCTTGAATTCATGACAGTTCTGTCTCAGCCTTCCACATACTGGGATCAAAGGTGTGTGCCATCATGTGTGGCCTGGACAGCTTATTTTAGAGCTCAGTGTGTATTTTATGAACCCGTGGATGCCTAGAGAGTATCACAGTAAAGGATGAGGGAGCCCTCAGTCTGGAGGAAGCATAGGAGTCACAGGTTCTCTGGCAGAGTTAGAGTTACCAGGGGTTGCAAACTGATCCCAGCCCCTGTACACTCCATGTGGTCTAGAGTGGAGCCAGGTGACCCTTGGAAAGCTTCCTGAATGACTGTCCTGTAGCCCAGGTAACACTACATGGGGGAAAGGGAGGCACGGGATTACTTTCGATGCTTTCAGAAATTAAACAGAATAACAAATAGGGGACACCATTAGTGTTCTACAGCCTTGGGATAAGTGACTGGGGAGGAGGGCAGCAGAACTCAGAAGGGGGGCTTCAGTGTAGTCTTGCCCAGAGTTTGATCTTTGATCTTGGGATTTTAGTAACTTGTCACCCCAAGACCTTCTGATTCCAGAATGCCAGATATTCTGCACTTGTGGCCCAGTCCATGTCTCAGGTCCCTGAGCACTCATATTTCATGAGAGTATGAGTTCTTCGAGTGACACTTCTAGCCAGGGTTAGCAGAACATCTATCTCCTGGTCTCCTGAGGCTGGAATGAAGGAATAAGGGCAGCTAGGTCTCTGGGGGAGGAAGGGAAAGGAGGTGTTGAGGCCAGGATTGACTAGGCCCATGTCAGGACCCTTTCTTTGTGAGGTCTGCAGCAGATGTTGACCCCAAGCTCAGTGTTTGTTCTCTGCCCTTGCAGGAAATGCGTTTCCCACGAGTCTCCAACCTCTCAGAAGTGTATGATGTGCTAAGCAGGTGAGGATGGTGCTTCTGGAGCAAGGCCTGTGGCCTCAGCTTCCCAAGACCTTTCTCTGGTTTTAACTTACCCCAAGCCCCTGTTTTGATGTGTTTGCCTGGATCTTTGCCTTTTAAAAAGCATGTGCTGAGTGGATATCTCTAATTTAAGAAACTTGGGGACAAGAGGAGGAGTTACTTTTAGTGAGTTGATTTTACACCCCCCCTTTTTTTCTCCTAATAGTGACTTGAATCCCACTAACAGTACTGGACCAGAGATTATTCATGCAAGCGAGTGTGAAAAATATGGTATGTCCTGAGCCCCTGCCCCTTGCACCGTTGGCCAAGTGCCCTGGTGTAGAAGTTTCTGTCCCATCTGGTCCCACAGCCATTTAGTCCCAAATAAACATACAGAAGCTTATATTAATTATAAACTGTTTGGCCTGTGGCTCAGGCTTCTTACTGGCTAGCTCTCTTAATTAACTCATTTCTATATATGTATCTGCACACGGTCTTGGCTATCTCTCCTTTGTTACGATAAATCTTTCTGCCAAAAGCTGCCAAGCCCCACCGCCACATGTGTGCTTTACGCCAGCTGCCTGCCCGAGTTAGGGCCCAAATTAATACACAGAAACTTGTATTAGGTTCATATGCTGCTTGGCCAATGACTAGGATTCTCATCTGTTAACTCAGTGTTAATTATCATAAATCTATATTTTTATAAGACATCTTATAGAGGATGCCTTTCGCTGGCACCCTGTCTTGCCAGTGGCTCACATGGCGCCGCTGGAGGAGGAAGGGGGAAAGGGACACTTCCTGTTTCTCCTCTCTTAAATATGAGTCTCCTTGCTATGTCACTTCCTGCCTGGAACACCACTTCTCTACATTTTCCAGAATCTTCTTTGACTCCTAGTCCTGCCTAACTTGCTATCATTGGCCAAACATTATTTTGTTCAATAATCAATAAGATAAACATACACAGAAGTACATTCCCCATCACTCCTTCTTCCTAGCCTTCTCTTAGTCTTATTGCCTTGCCTATACTTACTGCCTGGCTACATCCTGCCTGTCCATTGGCTGAAGCAACTTTACTGACCAACCAATAAGAAACATATTCACGGCCTACAGAAGGACCTCTCCCATCACCCTGGGGCTGAGCTGAGGGTTCTATGGTTCCTGGGCAGCAGGCTGCAGAGGCTTGGGTGGGGATTCCTTCCTGGCCTGTCTTGCTTTGCTCTACACAACTCTGAATGTTCAGGGCACAGAAGCCCGCTTTCTCTCTATGTGTGGGATGTAGTCTGCCATGTCTACATGGCAGGGACCAGGGTGAACAAACGTGCAGGAGCAGGGCACACTGTGCTGCATTGTGTGGTGGGTGGCTGGGATGGGAAGAGGGACTTCTTGTTCTAATCACTGTCTGACCCCCTCTCTTTTGGAAAATCACGTCAGCTGAGACCAAGTGCCCCCATGAAGCTGGATATGATGCCTTCCTCTGTGGGTCAGGTAACGTGTTCCCTAATTAGAAGAGCATTCTGCCCTGGGTTCATGTGGTGTTGCACATAGAGTTGAGTTTTCACTTTTCCACAAGCCTTGAGTGGTTACATCTCCAACTTTTTCTTCCAGTTCTTTTGAAAGTGGCGCACTTGCTCCTGGAGAGGGTGCATGAGTGAGTACCCTCCCTTCCATCCTCCATAGGTCTCAACCAGGACCACCATATCGTGAAGGAAAGTGTAGTATGTGGGTTTCTCACCCAGAGCCAGCCTGCCCCAAGGAGCCCTTTCCTTCCGTGCCATCCCCTGCCTGGGTCCTGGTATATATACATCAGGGGACCCACACAGCTGGGTTTGACTAGAGAACTTCCTGGCTCAGTGCCTTGGCTTTGTTAGCTACAAGTGTTCTCACAGCTGTTGGAGGTGACAGTGAGCGAGGGGATAGGATGAGACACATTACAGGGGTTCCTCAAGGCTGCAGGCAGGACAGTGAACAGGAGAGGTGCCTGGATGGAGGAACACAGAAACCCAAATCAGAACATGAATGCATTGCCCCTGGTGATGGCCTCCTGATGAGCTGGCATATGAGCACCAAGAGCACCTTTGTGTGACAGAGCTGTTAGTGGGGCTCATTAATTCCACAGGAGGATTTTCTCATAGTTGTGACCTGTTCTTCAGGACTGGCCTAGCAAATGTTTTGGACTATCTGTTATTTTAGGAACCTCCTTTATCTGTCTATTTTGGCCACAGATATACATACAAATGTTGTATGACATATTGATGTGAGGCTTATAACTTATGTGAGGGACCTGCCAGCTGGTTTCCTCTTCCTCTGCTGTGGCAGCATTCAGGTGCCCACTGGCAGTTGCTGTGTGCTGGCACAGTGGGCTGCTAGCAGCAGTGTGGCTCAGTCCCTGGGGCCAGGCCTTCCTCCCTTTGTTCCTTTTAGCTTCAGGACTGGAAAACCTCAGGTTAGAGGAGCTCATGGCTGTCCAGGCCTGCCAATTCTGGGATCTGTGTTTGGGGTGCAGCTGGTAGAGATGCTGGTGGCAAGGGATGGCCTTTATGTGGAGTCAAGGGTGATGTCACTTCAGAGAGTATAAAGTAGAGCTTCATCCAGACAGGGGCCTCTCTCTCATTCTCTGAGCCTGCTGCCAGTGCTGGTCAGCAGAGAAGCTCTTGATCTAAACTCTGCTTGTATGTGTGAAGGAAGCCCACCAAAATGAGCCCCAAAACTTGGCAGAGGTGGAAAGAAGAGGTGCCTGAAGCAGCTCCCTTCCCTGCTCCCAAACCAGAACCTTAGCTATTAGCCATCATGTGGTTGCTGGGAATTGAACTCAGGGACCTCTGGAAGACCAGCCTAGTGCTCATACCGCTGAGCCATCTCTCCAGCCCCTCAGAACCTTAGCTGTGCCTGACATCTTGCCTGAGTGCTTCTGGCTTTTATCTGTCCATGCAGTGCTGGTTCTGTGGACGAGCTCACCTTCTCACAATACCTGGATGTGCTGGAGCCCTATGTGAACCAAGTGAATCTTATCCGAGCTGGGGTTCCTAAAATTGTGAGTATGTCTCACTCTGCTCTCTGACTGACCTTGCTCAGGCCTGTGATGGGCAGCTGCCTAAAGCTCTCTGATGTGCTGTGGGGTCCTGATGACAATGCAGTGGGAGCCAAGGAGGAGGGTCACTCCCTCCCCATAATACTTGTTTCTTCTGTTTTTCTGTCAATCTGCGTAGATTCACTCCTTCTCCTTCCTGCTCCAGCCCTGAGCAGAGCATCTAGGTTCTTGAGCATTTTAAGGTGTATGAGGTGTCATGAACCATGGAGAATTTCTTGGTTTTGTTTGCCTAGAATCTTTCTGGCCCAGATTACCCCAGTATCCGACCTCCTGTACTCATCCTTACTGTCAAGAGGTGGCCTGGGGTCACCGAGCATCAAGTCTACCGTGAGTTCCAGAATCTTTGCAAGTTCGATGTCAGGCGATTCACCCAAAACCAGTTCCTGCTCCTCACCAATAAGTTTAAGGAGTAGGTATCCGACTCCAAGCCCCTGTTTATCCTTACTGCCTCTTTAGTGGCTGTATGTGGCTACATTATCTGCTGACTTGTGCAAACTTCTTTTGGCAGTGCCCGCAGCGTCTTGAAGGAGTACAGGAGCCACCCCACCCTGCAGGTCGCCCTGTACCGCTACTGGAAACATTCCCCCAACATCACCTGCCTGTTAAAGTGAGTCACCTGCCCGCTGAGGTCCCATGTGGTCTGGTTCTAGCCCCTCACTAGCTGAGTTGTCAAGCAGTTGTTGACAGATGTGAAGTGAAGCTTATTCATTCATTCAGACCATCCCACTGGAATGTTGGGTCCTGCTTTATCAGTGGGCCAAAGTGAAACTCTCAGCTAGTGGGAGAAGTACAGAGGAGATGATAGGAGAGGCCTGGGGTGAGGCGAGGATACAGTGCAGAGACGATGGGGAGAGACCTGGTGCGTGGGGGGGGGGGAGAGTGCAGAGGAGATGATGGACATTTCAGTAAGATTCACGGAAGTAAGGAGTGGGGAACAGCATTCAGGCAGGTGGTAACAGCCCTTGAATGGAGAGCAGGGGGCCAATAAAGGGGAACAAGCAAAGGGATAAGGTATGGAATGGGTCCCATCCAATGGGGGCTACACCTTGAGGGCTGTTGATATAGGAGAAGCCAAGTGTTGAGGGATTGAGAGGAGGGATGCAATCCACCTCCCATTTGCAAAAGCCTTGCTGTCTCCTGTGCCAATGGGGGGCATCATCAGGGCAAGTATGGCTGGGTGATGGGAAGGGGGTCAAGCAAGCAGCAACCCTGAGGGGAAAAAAAGGGTTGGGGCCCAAGTGACTGAAACACCAGACTTGGAGTTGCTGAAGCTTTGTGAGGCTGCAAAGGATTTAGGAGCCACAGCTGCCATGGACAATCTACTTGCAGGCAGTCTCTTGTCCTGCGAGTCTCTGACCTCCATCTCTGGGAGGCAGCTTGCCTGTACTGATCCCAAGAGGCAGACATTTGTCATTGGCATCCAGAGAATGGCTGAAAGGCTATTTGTGCTGGGGATGTAGCTCAGGTGGTAGAGTTTTTGCTTAGCTCTGGGCTCACTCCCTGGCACTCCCTAAACTACACGGTGGTCCACACCTGTAACTCCAGCACTTGGGATGCAGAGGACCAGGAACTTAGAAAGTCTGAGTCTGACGCCAGCCTGGGATACTTGAGAGCTTGTCTCAAAAGACATTTGGTTGGACAACATTGGGAGGAGAGAATGGAGAGCAGAGCCTGTGCCAGTTGCCACTGGTCCCCAGGCAGACCCTGCCCTGCCCAGGCCTCTGACTCTTGGGTCTTTATCTTACAGAGTCTGCAGCATCATCACCACCTGGGCCATAGTTGCATTTGTCCTGGGCAGATCCAGTCCCAGAGTGCGTTGATCCTCGACTACTGGGAGAGCTTCCCGGGATGGCCCTCATGACTTGTCTGTATAAACAAGTTTGTTTTCAGGAAGACCTGTATGGTGGTCCTTTTATTATTTTGTTCTGTTCTGAATGTGAGATTCTATACCTTTGTACATGGCCAATGCATTCCTTCCTGTAACTGCTGGGGGAAGTCCTGGCCACTTGGGTTGGAGCCACTGCTCTAACATGCCCAGAATTTTTTGATGGGTATGTGTGAGCGAAGGGGCTACTGGGACAGGAGCTGGCAGAGACTAAGGAAGGAGCTGCTGCTGCTGCTGCTGTAAATTCAGTAGAAGCTGTGTAAGCACCACACTGCAGGTATCTGGCCAACACTGGGATGCAAAAAACAGACTTCCAGGGCTCCAGGCTCACAGAACTGGAGGAGAGCAACACCGAACAGGTCAGCAGGAGTAATGCTGAAGGAGAAGCATGCCGCGCTGGCACAGAAAGGGATGTCAGTCACCAAGTCATGGGACTTCCAGGGTTCTGCTGATTCTGCCCCAGCCAAGTGGCACAGGTGTGCGAAGTTCATAGTCCGTGATTGGAGCCAGCCAGCACTACTACTATCATGTTACTGCTCGAAGATTGGGACACAGCCATCTGAAGACCTCTTCATCTCAAAGAGACAAGCCGTATCACTTCTCTTTCCAGAGCTGAGAAGACTACCCAAGCTCCCTTCCTTAAGTTGTGGGATGTTGCAAACTCAGTCTCCCCACCCTGATAATCAGTGATAATCAGTTTAAGATGCCTCTCAGGGGTCTCTTCCTTTGCTTCCCCCCACTTCCTTCTCTTCTAAAGCAACCTCAGCTCTGGGCTAAGGTGGTTTGTGTTCCTGCTTGCAGGCACCTGGACCCCCACCCCCACCCCCACCCCTGGCTTTTGTAGAGACTTCCTTTCTCCTCTGGTCCCTGTGGTCTCTCAGAGCTGGGTCCTGGATGGGAGGGCCCCATCCTACATCTTTGTTCTGCATGGTCCCCTGGGACTATAGTGGTTTTGAGCCCACTTGCCCTGGTGCCTACACTTCACTGTCCCACGGTAGAGGCCACCTTCCTCAGCAGGATTTAGTGGAGAGCTGTGGAGGTGTGTGCAGGATGGGTGACTGGAGGAGCTGTCTGAAGTAGCCCCCTTTCACCTGACCTTTTTGTCCACAGAGCCAGCCTCCTAACTCCAGTCCCACCATCTTAATCTTCCCTGTGCTCCTCTGAGGGGCCTGAGTGAAATCCTCTGGTTCCAGGAACTTAGGTAGCTTCCCATTGGATGTTTATTTTTAGTTTTGTTTTTTGTTTTTGTTTTTTTTGTTTTTTTGTTTTTTGTTTTGTTTTTGTTTTTGTTTTTTTTTGAGACCAGGATCTCTCTATGTAGCCCTGGCTGTTCTGGAACTTGTGTAGATCCAGGCTGACTTCAAACTCAGATCCGCCTGCCTCTGCCTCCCAAGTGCTAGGATTAAAGACATGTGCCACCACTGCCTGACATGGGTGTGGGGTTTTCCATGGGGCTCACACTTAGTTTTGAGGTCCCTGTAGCCTGCTGCCCACACAGGGCCTGAGGCATGCCAGCCCCAGCTTCCTACCAGCCTGGCTGCTTGGACACTTATCTGTTTGGATTGCTCTTTATCAGCATGCTTTTTCTCTTTCTCTCTCCATAACTCCACTCAAACTCTTCAGAATGTAGGATGCTGTGAACAAACCATGCCTGTTTTTAGAGCTGTGAAAAAATAAACCAAATAAAGCCTCTCCCCAGAGCCTGCTTTGTGAGTCCAGGCCTTCTGGCATTCATCCCATCGCCTCTGCTCCAACTTTCCAAAATTCTGAGAATCTCAGAAGCCAAGAATTTGACTTTTTGGGCAAGCCTGCTCTCCCCCGAGATGATTGATGGACAGCACCTCTAAACAGGAGGACAGGGACCCTCCTTAAAAATCACAATGTTTCCCCCAATTTTTGCTGTTCTACAAATAAAGAGTAATTTCTCAACCAGTATTGTGGGATTTGATAGGCTGCTGTGCTCTGAACCATTGACTCCATATTCCTTAGTGTCACAGTGCCACAACATAGTACATGAGAAGGGTTCACTCCTAGGTTAGGAAGTTCAAGGTCTCATCCCACCCCTGTTTTCCTTCCCTCCCTTAGAAGAAATCATGGAGAGAAAAGTGTACCTTGAAGACCTTGGGCCCACGCACCTCCCACTAGTCCTCATTTCCTGCAGGTCCACTGCCTCCCAGTGGTGCAGCCTTAATGCAACAGACATTTAAGGGTCATCTGACAAGCACTGTCTGAAACATAGCAGTGCAGTTCTTGGCTCATTCCCTTTTAATTTCAGGAACTGTCTGAACCAGATGCATGTCGTAAACGCATGTTTGCCCATACCACCTTGTCTTGGACTGGTGGGAACCTTTTCTTGGCTTTTCAGCACCAGTGTAGCTTCGACATAGTTTCTAAATTGTTGTAGTCCAGGTCATGTGACTGCACATTAGCCAGGTTTTTGCTCACATGCCACTTCTCTACAGAGAGGTCACCCCAGACCACCATGTCCAACAAGTGCTCTATCCTTAGTCCTTCACTCAGTTTTATCTTTTTCCCCTAGGGCCCAAGAACAGTATGACACCTGCAGGGGGCTGTATGACAATCTGTCCAGAGACTCCACAGGACGAGCCTTAGCCCTGTGCCCAGGTTGTGTACATGTGTAACTGTTAATGGGTATGTGTAAATGTCCTTGGGATCCAAAAGGGATGACAGATCTCATAGATGGTTGTGGGCTATCTAGTGTAGGGACTGGGAACTGAACTTGGGTCCTCTGCAAGAGCACCATGTGCTTTTAACCACTGAGCCATCTCTTCAGACCCTCAGGAAAGGTTTTGAATGTTACAGTGGGGGAAAGACACAGACTAGAGAGATGGATTTCCTCCCAGATTTTAATCATTAAATTGGGATAGGCTTCTTGGCTTTCTCACCCCCCTCACAGTTCTCATGTATGCAAGTGTATTACATATGCAAATCAAGCATTTAAGCTGGGTGGTGTAGTGATTGCATATCTTTAATCCTAGCACTCAGGAAGGTGGATCTCTGAGTTAGAGGCCAGCCTGGTCTGTTCCAGAACAGCCAGAGCTCTATAGTAAGACTATCTCAAACAAAGTGTTAACTAATAATCGTAACTTTCTTTGGCATATATGTAAGGTTAACATTAAAGATGAAGACAAATTTACAAACTAATGAGATAACTGCTTGTTTATTTTTATATAAAGAACTAAATCTTGCCTGAATATTCAAAAGCCTCATCAGTGTTTTTCAGAATTGGCTGATATCCTGATTTTATAATTGTCAGTTTTGAGGATACTATTTCATGTAAATTCATAGTACAAAGTGGTAGAAGTATGTTTGGGGCCATTTCAGAAATTGTTGGAATTATGTCCTAACCCTAAGCCAAAATTCATGTTACATTTTTAGATTTGAAATTTAAGCAACTTAACCAGAAAATTTTAGAATCCAACAATTGTTTAGAAATCAAAATTGTTGTAATTCAAGTATACGCTGATACATGCTGAGGAATTTCGGGATGCATAGTCTGCCTTAATTTCCCCTGATGAAACCATTATATGTGCAGGAAGCTTTGTGCTTGTGGTAAGGACAGGACAGTTCATAGCACACGACAGTCTCAGGTCTGTGTTTCAAGCAGCTTTTTTGTTGGCACTGCGTGGGGTAAAAGCATGTCCAGTGCAAGGGTTATGGTGAAGTCACGTGACGCTGGAAGGGCTGTGGGCAAAGGGGTCCATGCTGATGGAACTGAAAGTTCATGAAATACATCTGGCAAAGCAAAAGGGGAAATTAGTTCAGTAAAATGTGTCTCGGCATTTAGAGCCCGCACTGAGGGATCATGTCTGTCACTTGCCTTCACTTGCCCAGACAGGGTGCTGGCCCTTACATTGTACTCCCTGGATTAGGCAAGCAAAGGGTTCCTCAAAACAGCAGGGAATTCTCAAAAGGTAAGGGTGAAATTTTAAGAACTGTAGCTGGTAGCTGGTGATGGTAGCACATACCAATAATCACAGCACTTGGGAGGCAGAGACAGGCAGATCTCTGTGAGTTTGAGGCCAGCCTGGTCTACATAGCGAGTGCCAGGACAACCAGGGCTGCACAGAGAAACCCTGTCTCAAAACAAAAGACTGTCTATAATGGGGGCCTTTGCAGCTGAGTGCTGATAGTGGGTGTGGTGACCTCCGGTGATGGACATAGTGTCCCCCAGACACATCATTCTCCCACAGATGAAGTACCTGAACCCTAGGAGATTGGGAAAGTTGATCAGGGGACAGAGCTGAGCAGAGTCTAAACCCGCTATTAGCTGCCCCAGGGCATGTGTGCAGGTGTGGTGGAGCCACACACAGTGTGACCTGTAGAGGAGCCTTGTCAGGAGATGGAGACAAGGGACTCCTTCTGGCCAGCACCCCCACAGGGTGAGAGGCCTGAGTGGGGTTCTCCAACAGGCTTCCTGCTCTGGGTCCCGGGTAGTGAATGATACCTGGTCCTGGAGCACAATGATCTTCTCAGCGAGGAGCTACGGGTCAGTGTTTCTGGTGCTCTGTCTCCCTACATCATCAGCGGCAGTCGGTGTGGACAGGCCTAAGCATTGGCAGCACCTGCCACCGTATTAGGTGAGCCTATCCATCATCTGTGAGCTGGCTGCTAGAGATCTCTTCTCACAGGCACTTTTTTCAGCTATCTTGTATTCCTAAGGTGTGGACAGGGCCATGCTGGGTCCTTTGTGTCTTCATCACGTTTGTTCCCACCAACCCAAGGGTCTACAACTCTCTCTGTGAGGCCACAGATCCTGGTGCAGGGGATTCACCTTCCGACCTACCCCAGACCCCCACTTTTTTCCCTGTGACATCCCATCCAGTCAAGTTAGCAGGTCAGGGGCTCTGGTACCCACTGAAGGGCAGGACTTCTGGTGTCCCTTCCATCATTTCAGCCTTTGTCCTCCAGGCTGTAACCGGAAATGTTGACTCGGTGCTTAGAAAGTGGATCAAGGGGGCTGGAGAGATGGCTCAGAGGTTAAGAGCACTGACTGCTCTTCCAGAAGTCCTGAGTTCAATTCCCAGCAACCACATGGTGGCTCACAACCATCTGTTATAAGATCTGGTGCCCTTTTCTAGTGTGTAGATATACATGGAAGCAGAACATTGTATACATAATAAATAAATAAAATATTAAAAAAAAGAAAGTGCATCTCAAGCTTGGTTTTTCCAAGGAACAGCAGCAGGTCTGATGTCGTGCAGCCCAGTTCCTTCAGCCCTCACCTGGGTGCCAGTAGAAGCCTTCTCTCCAGAGGCCACCTTGGTTCAGAGCAGATGGCCTCTGAAAGATGTGCTGGAATCCTAGCATCACCTATAACTAACTGCTCTGGAAACAGGGTCTGTGCAGTTCATGAAGGTGAGAGCACATTTCAGTGTCATTGCACGGTTCACTCGGGCAGTGAGTTTTCAGGTTAAATTCAGTGTCTCCAGTCCCTAGCCCACACCACCTAGCTCACACCATCATCTTCAGTCCCTTACCCAGTGATGCTTCTGGCCATGCTCTCATGGGTACTAGGTTGGCCTCAAATCTACTAGGTAGCCACAGGTGGCCTTGAACTCCTTATTCTTTTGGTTTCCACCTTTAGAAAATTATTTATTTTCTGTGTAGGGGTGTTTTGTCAGCATGCATGTCTGTGCACCATGTTTGTGCAGTGCCAGGAGAGAGGCCAGAAATGGGGTGTGGTATTCCCTGAGACTGGAGTTTGAGATGGTTGTGAGCTGCCATGTGGGAGCTGGAAATCAAAACCTGGTTCTCTGGAAGCAAAGCCAGTGCTCCTAACCATTGAGCCACCTCTCCAGCCCCTGGTCCCACTTTGTGAGTGCTGGGACTTTAATCATTTGTTACCATTCCTAGTTTATGGGGCCCTGGGAATCAAACTCAGGGCTCCATGCATGCTAATCAGACAGTCTACCAACTGAGTGACATTCCCTCTCCCTTGAAATAATTTGTTTTTGTTTTTCAAGACAGGTGCTTTGTGTATAGCCCTAGCTGTCCTGGAACTTGCTCTGTTGACCAGGCTGGCCTTGAACTCACAGACAACTACCTGCCCTGGCCTCCCAAGTTCTGGGATTAAAGGCATGCTCCCCTACTATCCATCTTGAAATAGATTTGTTTTAAGTAACTTTAGAGAGATGGAAACAGGGGGATCAGGAGTTAAAGACCATCTTCCACTACTTCCTGAGTTCAAGACTAACCTGAGTTACTTGTCTCAAGAACGCTTAGAACTATTAAGCCCAGCACTGGGGGGCAGGGGTAAGGATGGGGGAAGAGGCAGGTAGATATCTATGAGCTTGAGGCCAGCCCAGTCTACAAGGTGAGTTCTAAGCCAGCCAGGGCTAAATAGTGAAACCCTGCCTTAATAATAATAAATAAATAAAGAGCTAAAACCAAAATATAACTTTAAATAGCCATTCAATTTTAATCCTCCCTGCAAGGAAGCTCTGTTGTCTGTTTCATCCTTTGTTGTGTTGACATTCGCTTAGGACAATGCATATCCAGGCTCACTCAAGACTTAACTGCAAGTGTGTGGTGAGTGCATAGGAGCAGACTTCTGAGACCTCCACTTCCACACTCTAGAGCTCATCCTGCTCCTAGTATTTCCCCTGTGCCCTCACTCCAGTAATTTTTGGGCCTCGGTCTGGGAAGGCAGTCCCACTTCCAGAATAGTCCCAAGTGCGGTGACTCTGGGAAGGGACAAGGAAGACACGTCTGTCCATGCCGGCTGAGGCCTGGCTCTCTCCTTTTCTGCCGCCTGGAGGCAGAGAAAGCACACAGAGAAAAGGGAGAGCAGCAGAGCTGGTTCACTCTGCTTTTCCTTCCTGACTTTATCAAGGGAGGCAAGGGTGGGTCAAGAGCACTGAGCCTGTGCATGCATTTCCTCCCAAACTAAGGTCAGGGAAGGTCAGTCAGCTGGAGCAAAGGACAAGGCTACCTGGATGCCTAATGCTGCTTGATGGTGTTTTTAAATTGCTGACTTTTAAAGATTCATTCTTAAAAATTATGTGTATGTTTTACGGGTGCGTGTGAGTGAGTGAGTGCGTGCGTGCGTGCGTGCGTGCGTGCGTGCGTGCGTTGTGTGTGTGTGTGTGTGTGTGTGTGTCTGCATGGGGTGTGACCACATGAGTGCAGGTTCCCCTAGAGGCCAGAGGACAAAGACATTAGATCTCTCTGGAGCTGGTATTACATGCAATTGTGAAACACCTGATGAAGGTGCTAGGAAACAAACTCTGGCTGTTATTATTCAGGCATCTGTACTGATGTATGGGGGTCCTGACAGGACATGCCCTCAGCTGCAGCCACTAAGAGCACCACCTGTGCATATTCACTATGTTCCCTTTTAAAAAGGCCCTGCCCACCTCCCATCCCTCTCTCTGTCTCTGTCTGTCTGTCTCCCTGTCTCTGTCTCTGTCTCTGACTCTCTGTCTCTGTCTCTGTCTCTCTGTCTCTGTCTCTGTGTGTGTGTGTGTGTGTCCTCCCACTCCCTCTCTTTCCATCTCTCTCCTCTCCCCTGCTGCTCCTGTCTCCTGAGGCTGGTCTCCCCACTTCCCTTTCCCCTTTTTATGATCCCTTTCCCTAATTAAAAACAAAACAAAACAAAAAAACCCTCTGCTTGAACCCTGTCACATGGCATCTTTTTCTCGTGCTGTTTTTCTTAAATTACAACATCAGTCCTCTGGAAGAAGAGTACCTCTTGGGTGCCTGAAACTTCCTGGAGCCAGAAAGAGAAGGTGCACAGGTTCTGGCCTCATGGGTTGATCAGCCTAGAGGCTGAAGGGGGAGCCAGACAACACAGGCTTACTATGTACTTTTCCCAACACCTGAGACAAGACCACAGACAGTGCATCCTCAAGAAATGTTTATAAGGGAATAGACGACAACAGTATTATAATACTCTTCTTATATGGGACCAAAAGCATTTTTTATGATTGAATTCTGCTATTTAATTTTTAAATACTTACACTATGTGTGTGGGGGGGTGGGGTGGGGTGGATGCACACGTGTGGAGGTTAGATGACAACTTGCAAAAGTCGATTCTCTTCCCACTGTGTGGGATCCAACTCAGGTTACCAGGGTTAGCAGCAAGCACCCTTTACCTACTGAGCCTTCTCACTGCCTGGCTCCAGCTGCCTAAATACACAGTTTACAATACAGAGAGACACATACATCCAGAGACAGGTGTTTCTCAGATCCCTGGTGATACAGAATATGAAATAAAATACTGTCCTGAACTGACTGGAATCAGGTTCAGGAAGATCTGACTGACTTCCCAACTCCTTCAAAGAGCATCCTTCACCCCTGGGGAGCTCCTGAGGGCTTCTGTTAGGAGAAGGAGAGTGAATCCTGGAGTTGAAATAAGTGACTGCAAGCCACAAGGGCGGAGAGTAAGGAAACCTCCCGGGGGCTGCTTTAGGTAAGTCATAAATTTGTTTTTCTGCCTTTTGACATTAAAAACAAAAAGAGAAAAATGCTTGGCTGTCAGGGTCATTCTTATGGTTTCACAGTATTAGAAGCTGGTCCTGTGTGTGAGGGATGTGCTCCTCAGACCACAAAGGCGGAGACACAGTGGTGTCCTAAGAGGCCCCTCATTCATATTTGGCAGGGAGTATAGCTCATGACACAGTGCTTGCCTAGTGCATGAAGCCTTGGGCTTGTTCCACAAGCACCACACATACCATACAGCAATGTATTTTAGGCCTTGCCATTTGTTTGGGCTAAAACAGCATTCAACTATTTTACTTAATCATTTATTTTGAGACAGGATCTTACTAAGTGGCTCAGGATGGCTTCAAACTCACAGGAATCCCCTTGCTTCCACCTCTGAGTGTTCCAATTATGGATATGCCTGGATATCCATAATTGGATAAGACTCCATTCTGTTGTCTTAATTAACATTTTTGATAACTATTGAGTTAAAAAACTTCTGACTATGGGTAATTTTTGCTTGTTTGTAGTGGGTTTATAAATTACCCACCATTTAATCTTTACCCCTTTATCTATTTGTATCCCATCATTTTAATCCTTAGTTTAGTGGATCATTCCATACATTAAGTGGTATTATCCTGCTGTCATATTTATTAAAGTACATTTTCTAACTCATGATTTGTCAAGTTGGAACTTCTCATCATAGTTGGAACAGGCCTAATGCCACCAAATCCTAGAGCATTCAGTATAACCTCTAGTTTGTCAGGTTCACATTTAAGGTTTTTTTCTTATTAAAGCCAGTTGCATTATGGGATTTTATCCCAATAAGAAAATGACTCGATGAGCAAATTCTATAAATAGTGCTGAGAAGCTGGGCCTGACCTTAAAATAGCAACGTCCTTCCACTGTGCCTTGGGACTACAGCAGAATGTTTTCTTTGCAATAAAAACAGAAAACACTCCATTTCAAAAGTATCTTCAGCAGCCTTACCAGTCAGCCACTCAGCAAAGATCTGAGGAATGAGGGATGGTGTTTTAGGGAGGTCAGGCAATAGCTGTATGCTGGGATATGGAAGGGAAAAGCATGGATTTGTTTTGTACACATTTTACAACAAAATGCACTACACGTTGCTCCTGGGTGTGCATGCGCCTCATATTTAAGCAAAGGAAAGAAGAAGAGAGGAAGGGACAAAAGGAAAGAAATGGGGAATGGTAGAATGCTCCTGTAATCCCAACACTCAGGAGCCTAAGGCACAGCATTGAAAGCCTGAGACCAGACTGAGCTACAGAGTAAAACCTTGTCTCGAAAAACTAAGTAAGGATAGAGGGAAATCAGAGAAGGAGGGAGCCTGGGGGTATGGGGAAAGGTGGGAAGGGAGATAAAGAGAAAACATCCATACTCAAGCAAAGCTTCACTCATCCTTGTTGAGGCTCCCTCTAATTCTTACAGGATGGCATCTTTAAAGGACTCATGGGACATCCTGTCTATCTCTCAATTGGTCCCATGATAAATTCTCAGTGAATGAGTAGTGAAGATGCTTGTAAGATAGCATGAATGTCCTTATATGTACTAACATGTTTTTCTCTGATGCATTCAGAGGACAAGATAGAAAGAAGAGACCCAAGGGAGAAAAGGTGAGGAATGGTATTGGTGACTACAGTATGAATAGTTTATGGTGTCTCTCAAAGACTGCCCTGGGTTATATAGTCTCAAGGGTGGATCTGAGGGTCAGACTCCTTAGGGCACAGTCTGGCTCAGGGCCATCCATACCCTGAAACCTTACTAAACCTCTTACCTTTATCTGTGACAGTAGATTAGTAGCAGTGGCTCATAAGATTGACAAGTGAGACATTGTTATGACACATAGAGTTTTGTGCTGAGAAGGTGGGAATCAAGCCAGGGTCAGGGGCTGTGCTAGAGTACTTGCCCAGCATGTATGGTGTTCAAGAGCCAATGCCCAGTACTGGCAAAAAAATTAGCTCCCATCAAATTACCAAGTATGTCATGTGTACAGTGTGTCTTGTTATCATTTCTTTCCTGGAAGAATGAAGGACTTTCTCTTTACTCTTAGGTGAGCCACCAGGTGGAATGGTAGAGAAGTGGTTAAAGAATATCGTTATATTCTCATACAGGGATAACATCAGCCATCCTTCCTTGGGGATGTCCTAGCAGAAGTTCATGAAGGTGGAGAGAACTGCAACATTCTCCCTCGAGCCCACCTCTGGCTTTTCCTCAAAGACCTTCTGCAGTGCTTCTTTTAGAGACTTCCTACTCCTCTTCCTCTGCAGACTGCCTACCACAAAGTAGACAATTGGGTTGATGCTGCTGTTAATAGTGGACAGCATGTTCAGGTAGGGGAGGGAGTACCATACAGACTCATCCGTTGTGTACGAATAGTAGGCGATGATAAGTAACACCTTCATGGGCATGGCGAAGAGGAGAAACAGGATGACCGTGACCATGATGATCACATAGAGCTTGACTGGTTGGCGTGGCTTCAAGTTACAGCAGACCTGGATGAAGAGGATTAAATTGGAGAAGACCATGAGAGGAACAAAGACCAGGAATGTCAAGATACAGGAAAACAAGTACACATAACGGCATTCTGGGAATTGAGGCATCAATTTCATAATGCAGAAGAAGTTTTCCAACCCAGACACAAGAACAGAGAGGGCCCACAGCAGTGCACAGGCCACAGCGGACTGGTGCTTTGGGCGTCGACACTGGTACCAGATTGGGAAAAGTACTGAGAGGCACCGCTCCACGCTGATGGCTGTGAGGAGGTGCAGGCCCGTGTTGTAGCCAAAGAGCATGAAGAAGACAGTATAGGTCAGTAAGGTGTCATCATAGATGTGGAAGGTATTCACTAGTTGAATGATGGATGAACAGAGGAGAACCAAGAAGTCGGCAATGGCAAGATGTAGGATGTAGACAGTGAATGGCTTCCTCTTGATACAGAAGATTAGGAACCATATCAAAAGTCCATTCCCAGCTAGTCCCAGCACACAAATCACCAGGGAGACACAAATATAAATATAGTCAGCCTCTTGATTTGAAGACCAGGTGGTTTCATTTAGGGATTTGTTTCTGGTGTATTGTGTGGATTCCAGAGGACAAAAGGTCGTGGACAATGGCTCCATTCTTGGGAAATCTCTTTCTCTGTGGTCTCCTGTGGTCACAAATGAAACACAGTGACAGTTGTCATCTACTCAGCATCTTAAGATGGTTTTATATTACTGGGGAGGGATGAGGTTAGCCAGAGTCTGTCTTCTCATCTTCTTCATTGCCTGCCCCATTCTCCTTTCTTCAGTTCTCTACCCAGCAGACACCACTGAAATGTTCCACATCCCCTCCACTAACACCAGGGCTGACTTCTGACCTTGGCCCCAACTACTGGCATCCACAACAATTCTTTCTTCCTGGCCCTTTGGAAAGCCCACTGTGTTTCTTACCTCTAAGAGTTTTCACTAGAACTAGGTGACAGGACTTTTTTTTTTTTTTTTTTTTTGATACTTGAAATAAAGCAATGGCAAAAGGCAATGCATAAAAAAAAGGAACCATGGCTGGGAAGATTGCTTAGAAAGATGTTTAAGTATGAGGACCTGAGTATAGGCCCTCAGCATTCACATAAACATCTGGGCATGGTACTGGGTTGACAAATGCCACCCTTTAATCCCAGCACTTGGGATGCAGGGGCTGGTAGATCCCTGTGAGTTAGAGGGCAACTGGGTCTACAGAGTAAGTTCCAGGACAGCTAAGGCTACACAGAGAAACCCTGTCTCAAACCAAACCAAACAAACAGGGAAATTAATTTTTGGGGGGCGGGGTTGAGGCAGGGTTTCTCTGTGGCTTTGGAGTCTGTCCTGAAACTAGCTCTTGTAGACCAGGCTGGTCTGGAACCCTGCCTCTGCCTTCTGAGTGCTGGGATTAAAGGCATGCACCACCACTGCCTGGCACAAACAAACAAAGGAAACCCAGTATGGCAGCATCTATCTATAACTCCAGCACCAGGCAGTGGGATGGACAGATCCTGGGGACTGGCCAGTCAGTCTAGCTAGAACATCAAGTTACAGGCTCACTGAGAAGCACTGTCTTAAAAAAAACAAGATGGGGAAGTGACTGAGAGAGACACCTACTACCCTCTTCTGTCACCCAAAGATTTAGGGTTAAATGCCATCTCCAGGACAGGATTATCTGATCTTGGATGACTTTCACTTTGTAAACCTGTTTCCCTGTCTGCCAAATGGAGATAATAGTAGCACTTTCCACAGTTACTGAGAAAACCAATTGATGTCCTCCTTCTCTTTGTCCCTTTGGCTTGTATATGTGTGTGTGGAAGTTGACAGCAGTGTCTTCCCCATAGGTCTCTATTTTGTCTATTGAGGGAGAGTATGATGACAAGTTTTTGTCAACTTGACACAAAATACAGTAATCCAGGGACAGGGAAACTCATTTGAGACAACGACTCCATCTGATTGCCTGTAGGCAAGTCTGCAGGACATTTTCTTGATTGATGGGTGATATGGGAGGGACCATCCCACTGTGGGTAGTGACATAAATGGCCTTGGGAAATATAAGGAAGGTAACTGAAGAGCCTTGAGCAAGCCAGTAAGCAGCCTTCCTCCATGGTCTGTGCTTCAGTTCCCAACTCCAGGTTCCTGCCTTGAGTTCCTGCCCTGAAGGAGTGTACGGTGTAAGATGAAATAAGCCATTTCCTTCCCATGTTGCTTTTGATTATGATCATTATCACAACAATAGAAAGCAAACTGGGCCACAGGTCTCTCACTGGACCTGGACCTCAATAATTCAGCTAATTGCACCAGAGACCCCATCTTTGTCTCACAAGCACTGAGATTTTAGGCAGCCACTGCACTCTCCCAAGTTTTATATGGCTTCTGAGACTCCAAACTCCGGTCCTCACATTTGCAGGCAAGCACTTTACGCACAGACCTATCCCCACAGCTCTAGATTTCATCCTTTTAAGTACTTTTATTCTAAGTGCTTGACACAGTGCAAAGACATGTAGGTCATTAGACTGGCCATTTTTAAACAGTTTGGTTTCCAGGACTAAGAATGTATACAGCTCAGTTGGTAGAGTGCTTGCTTATCTCTCACGATGCCCTGGGTTCTATCCCCTGCACCACATATTATACTATGTATGGTGCTTTGTAATCTCAGTAGTCAGGAGGTAGGGACAGGAATATCAAAAGTCAATGCCATACTCAGGTATCTAGGGAGTTAGAGGCTGGTTGAGGCTAAAAGAGACCCAGCAGCTGTGCACAATATCTCTTCAAGATCAAACCAGTAAGAACTTTAAAATGGAGTCGGGAGGGGCTCAGAGACCACCACCACCACTCGCTGAAGAGCCAATGACAATTGATGGCTGCTGGAGGAGGGAGAGCCATCTTTAGGGTTATGGCCCCTGCTAGGTTAACTATGCCCCTCTGGATGGCCTCACACTCATATAGACAACTCAAATGGGACTCTGTGGGTTATTAAAAAAAAAAGAGAGAAAGAGAGAGAAACTAAAAACAAAAAAAGGACATGAAATTGGGGGAAAGGGGTGGAAAGTGGATCTGAGAGGAGTTAGGGGAGAGGTAGGCTGGGGTGGGGGTTAAGCACGATAAAAATCACACTATGTATATGGAATCCTCAAAGATTAATAGAATTTTTTTTTTTTTTTTTTTTTTTTTTTTGCTTTTTCGAGACAGGGTTTCTCTGTGGCTTTGGAGGCTGTCCTGGAACTTGATCTTGTACACCAAGCTGATCTCAAACTCACAGAGAGATCCGCCTGCCTCTGCCTCTGCCTCCCAAGTGCTGGGATTAAAGGCGTGTGCCACCAACGCCAGGTTGATAGAAATATTTTTAAAAGGTTTTTATTTATTTATTTTTTTTGGAAGCAGTGTAAGCGAGAAAAACTTGAACAGTGGAGCTTTTTTTTTTTTCTGTATTGATCATTTTTTTTCAAATAAAAATTTGCTAACCTGATTGGGGGAGGGGGGAAGACATCTGAACATTTTAACCAGACAGTTTATGGTTTAGCAAGGTGGTACAGCCTATGTACTTTGTTTCCTCTTGAACAGAACGTTAGTTTTAACCCAGATAGTTTAGGATTTAGCAAGGGGCTAAAGCCTCCATACTCTGTTTCCTCTTAAGCAGAATGTTAGTTTTAAGCAGACAGTTTAGGGCTTGCAAGGTGATACAATATCCATATTTTGCTTTTTCTTGAACAGAATGTTCTGCATGTTGTGGGAATCAGGGTCCTTGCTGGCCTGTAAATGTGCATTGATCTTTTCTGTGACTTCTATTGGTTTCTTCAGGTAAAGCACAGGCCTCCAGGCAGGCCAGTTGGGCTTCTCAAGGGCTGGTTTAAGTATAGACCCTACCCATCAAACCCCACTCTCTTCCCTTCCCTTCCTTTTCACTAAGACCACTGTCACAACCCTCTGTCCAAGGGAAGGCCTAGGGTAAGAGCAGAATCACGGGTGTGGGGGCCAGAAGACCCCACAGGGTGTCTTTGTCATAGACCAGGAACCACCAGGGAAGCTGCTTGCAACAGCCTGCCTGGAGTGTTAAGTGTGGAGTAGCATGCTGAGTGGGCTCTTGCTTGTGGCTACGCTGCTTCAGTAGACATCTGAACAAATAAGGGAATGGGTCTGCTGTGTAACATTGTCCAGACTAGCCTTTCTGCCTTGATCCAAGCATATTGGTAAACCAAAAGGAACTTACTTGAACTGTGTGTCTTAATAGTCTGGCCATAGGAACAAAGCATAATTTAAGAGAAAAATTAGAGCCAGGAGGTGGTGGCGCATGTCTTATCCCAGCACTGGGAAGGTAGAGGCAGGCAGATCTCTGTGAGTTCAAGACCAGCCTAGTCTACAGGGCAAATTCCAGGACAGCTAAAGCTACACAGAGAAACCCTATCTTGAAGAAAAAAAAAAGAAAACAAACAAACAGACAAACAAAAAACCAAAGAGAGACAAACCGAAAGAGAGAGAGACAGAGGGACAGAGAGACAAAGAGAGAGAAAGTAGACTTGACAGCAGAACAAGTACAATTATACTAATCATTCTGGTTGGCTGATTCCAGTGAGGTTGGAGACCACCCTCATTTAACATTTGGAGGATTCAGAGCTCCGAGGACCTGCCTCAGGCCTGCAACTTGCTAATACCATTTCCTGTAGTCAGGTGCTCTCCCACCTTCCTTCTGGATGCAGATACTACACCTCAGTCAACACTGTCTGCAACTCTCCCTGAGAGTTCTCACTATAGAGAAGGCAGGAGGGCATCGCAGGGATAGGCTTTCCAAGGAGATGCTGAGCTCATCTTCGGAGTGGGTGGAGTCTGCTAACCCTGCCACGGACAGTAGCATACTCTGGTGGGAGCTGGCCATTAGTGGCCTTTGCAGGCTTCCCCCACCCTATTTTGGACTCATAGCCTGCTGCCCAGAATGTATTTATGGTCTCTTCTAGTGATTTCTGTCAGTCTCTCATCCCGACTCTCAGATCCAGTCAATCAAAGAAGCTCAGCGAGGGATTAAATGTGCTCACATCTGTGTGACAATATTCCGTAGAGAACTACAAAATAGAACAGAGCCACATTTATTTCTGGTGCTGATTCAGGCTTCCAAACCAAGTGTCATTCAAGGGGTGTGCAGACCTAGCACCCTGCATGACATGCCTGCACCCGTGAACACACCTACACATTTATGGAACACAGTTATTAGGTGACCTTTTAGCTTTTTATGGTGCTCTTAGGGGAGGCTCTGGGCTGGCAGTTAAACCAGAAGACCCCTGTTTCAGAAGACATATGGTGCTGAGGTGGCCCTTAGGAGCCTGTCAGAGTGGCTCTCTTTGCAGAGGGCTGGGAGGAGGAAAGCTCCCTGTACGCTCAGTCACAGAGATCTTTCTGGAAGAGGCAAGTGAGAACACTCACGGTCTGCTGGTGTAAAGTCACTGTGGCGATCTCTGGGTCTTCCCTCAGGGCTTGCTGTTTCTGCTGGTTCTCAGGCCCTGTTCAGCAGGCGAGAAGGTTCTGGAAGGCTGAAAGAGCCCACATCAGTCTGGCACCAGTCTGCTGTTCTCAGGGTCTTATTTTGGCCTCATATCTGGCCAGTGAAATTTAGATTCCTGTTGGCAAGC